CTGTGATTTTTCGACTTGATCCAAGTAATTTGTGGTATATTTTACCCTCAGAAATTGGAAATTGAAAACCACTTACCTAGGAGGGTCGTTTAGAGCGTAAAGTATCGATTTTTTGATAGTTCTAGAGTCCAAAGAATCAAAATAACATGTATTTTGCGAATTTTCAGCTTGAAATCCATTTTTTGATTTGGCTTCATATCCCAGGTTTTTTTTTTGATTCTGTTAAGATTTAGCCTATTTTCCGATAGTAATCACCGTCAATTTCGATAGTTTCGATGCATTTTTCAATTTTTCCTGGTTATTTGAAGCTTAATCTCCAGTTTGAGCTCATTTTACGGGCTTTTCCTTTGGATTTGATTTTTTTTTAGGAGATTTCGTAGAAAATTTCGGTTATCTAGACGTTAAAAAAAGCCAATCAATGATCACTGTTTTCGTTAGAAATTTCTGACCTTTTTAATATTTATGACAAGCTTCTCGTAGTTGATTAATACTGGATTTTCACCAAAAACGCGATCTTATTTTTTTCATTTTTAAGATTTTTTTCATTTCATGCTTCACTCGAATTTTTTTCTTCCTATAGACCCAATTTTTTTGAATCTCGATTTTTTTGCTCAGTTTCGAATTGATCAGAAGAAAAAAATCCTTGGAAAAAAATGGATCTTAATATTTTTTTACTAGTAGTGCATCCATTTCCGCCAAAATTCATTGAAATCGTTCAGAAAAAAATTCTTGGGACATTATACGTTTGAGAATATATTTTTGATTACTTTTTTTCGATCTCTTCAAAGCCTGGGCCGTTTGGGACTTTATCCCGGGCAAAATTTGTGCTTTTCTAATTTTCTAAAGTTCTTTGTCGATTTTTGTTCAGTTTTGGGTCAATCTTGAGAAAAATTCTTGGAAAAAGGGGTTTTTGATGATTTTTTCAGTAGTGAATTCTCACTTGATTACCGCGAAGTTCAATATTTTTTTGGGAATTTATTCGATTTTTTCAAAGTCCTAGTGAATTCGTGACCGTTGTCATTTGAAAAAATATTTTTATCCATTATTTTTTCTAGAATCTTTAAAGGTCGCTTGGGACATACGAAATCTGGGATTTTTGGCCGTTTTTTAAAAATATTTTCATCCATTTTTTCAGATATAAAATCTCTAGAGGTCACTTGGGACATAATATCACGCTAAATTTGGGATTTTCGGTCATTTTATAAAAAAATATTTTTTTATTCATTTTTTTCAGATATAAAAATCTCTAGAGGTCACTTGGGACATTATATCATGCCAAATTTGGGATTTTTTTGGCCATTTTTTTAAATTTTGGTGTCCATTTTTTTTCGAATTTAAACATTCTGGAGGTCACTTGGGACATAATATCACGCTAAATTTGGGATTTTCGGTCATTTTATAAAAATATTTTTATTCATTTTTTCAGATATAAAATCTCTAGAGGTCACTAGGGACATTATATCATGCCAAATTTGGGATTTTCGGCCGTTTTTTTTTCTCTAAAATCTCCAGAGGTCACTTGGGACATAATCCCGGGTTTGAGGTCAATTTACGAGCTTTTTTTGCTCGTATCGAAAGTGGATTTGTGCGGAACGTGCTGTTAACCTCGGCTACGGCCGCCCATTACACTTGAAGTGGCGGAGGAAGGAACGAAAGGAAAAGAAGAAACAGAAAAAAAAAGAAAGAAGCGGATGAGACAAAAATGCGGCTCTCCCGGCGCCTGTCTCTTCTCCTTCTTCTTCTTCTGCCCCGGGGAACATCCTCGTTTACCGTTTGGCACACACTCGAGAGCAGAACCCGACTATTTTTTCTTCTCTTGACACACTTTTTCGCGCTTTTTTTTGATGATTTTGCCGTTTTCACCCCGTAAACTGCTGATAAAAAGGAACCGATGATTTCTTGGCTTTTTCCGCGTGAAAATTCAAGGATTTCAGAGTAGGTTTACTTCAAAAAATGAGAAAAGTGATGATTTTTCGGTGCTTCTCCGCGTAAAAAGATGATAATAAGAACCGATGATTTTCTTGGTCTTTCCTGCGTAGGAAGTCAAAGCTTTAACGGCTTCAATTTTACAAAAAAAAAATTAACCGATTGATGCTTTTCTTCAAAAATTTATAAAAAAAGATTTCATCAAGGTTGCTCTACTGATAAAGGTTTAAGTCCCGCGTATTTTGATGATTTTTCGCATTATTAGGCAAGATTTCAATGGCAAGCTGCTTCACTTTGATTAATTTTTTCCCCGAAAGCTGGTTTTGAATAAATGCCGAGTATTTTTTTTCATAAAAAAATGACACGTCAAGGTTGCTCTACTGATAAACGATAAAATTGCTCTATTGATAAAATTGTTCAAATCTGGCTTTTTCCGCCCATTTCATGATTTTTAGTGGTTTTCAGCGTAAATAGTCGAGGCTTTGAGGGTAGGTTGTCCTGAAAAAAATGGAAAATTGATGATTTTTTGATTTTTATAAAAATTGGCCGATCAAGGTTGCTCTACTGATTAACTTTAGAAAATTTTTCAAATCTGGCTTTTTCCGATTATTTCATGATTTTTCGTGGTTTTCCGCGTCAAAAAATGATTAAAATGCCGAGTCTCTGAACGAAATTTCTAAAAAAAAAATTAATTTGAGCGTTTTTTAAATAGCGGAGGTTTCGAGAGCAAGATTGCTCCAAAAAAAAAGGAAAATATTGATGTTTTTTCGATTTTTATAATGCCGTGTTCAAAGTGATTCCGCGAAATTCAAAATAGCCGTCAGAGAAAGAGAAAGATAACTAAATTTTGGAGGGTCAGAGACCAATTTGCATTTCGCGGGAATTACTTTGAACACGGCATAAAAATTGCCCGGTCAATGTTGCTCCACTGATAATAGTTAAGTGTGCTCTTTTTTTCGCGTATTTTCATAATTTCGAAGTACTTTTTCGGTTAATTTCACGGTTGCTCTATTGAAGATAAATAATGAAAAGTTTGTTTCGAGTGTTTCTACGCTTTTTTTTCGCTTGTTTCGTTGTTTTTTTGAGTTTGTCATAATTTTTGAAATTCCGCTTGCAAATAATCCCGACGGAATAGGTTTTAAAATTCTTAAAAAAATTTAAAAGAGAAAAAGAAAAAAAGAAAAAAAGCTGTGGAACAGACCTCAGGGCGGCTTTTTTTAATAGTTAATTTTTTTCATACAGTCGGTTTTCATTATAAAACCTTTTTTTCTGTACGCAATAATGAAAATTTTATAAACTAATGCGCTCCATCGATAATTCAGATTATGGGCGCGAAGAGCCGGATTTTGAGATTTTAAAACAAGCTTTGAATATTCTTTGTTTCCGTTTTCTCTTGTAATTCGAAATAGTTTCCTTGCTTCTATGAGCCCAAAATCAGCGGAAGAACACAGGGAGGTGTCGATTTTCAGACGTCCCTTTTGGCTCGCCAAACAAATCAACGAACGAGAAACGGAATGTTTGATGATTGGCTCTAGTCTTACCTTCCTCTCGTCGAGTCGTGTTCCTCTTTCTGTCCTCTTCTACACTTTCCTAGCCTTGTTATTCTGATTTTTTGACCAAGGAAGATCGATTTTTAATCATTTTGGTGCAGTTTGGTCGATTTTTCATCTTTTTTTGGGCGCTTTGGTCGATTTTTTATGCTTTTTAGGGCAGAAAATTGCGTCAGTAGCTATGATTTGTTTAAGAAAAGTTTGATTTTCAGAAAAAAATTCAGAAAAATCCTGTTAGTTTTTTTCAGATTTTTTTCCAACAAAGATCGGTTTTTTTCTTCAGTTTTGGTGCAGAAAAATTGCGACAGTTTTTTTCAGTTTTTTTCGAAGAAAAAAATCGATGTTTCATCCTTTTTAAAAAGCAAGAAATCGTGTCAGTCATTTAAACTTCTCAAAGAAAGCTAGATTTTTTTCACCTTTTTTTAGTGCAGAAAAAAATGATAATTTTTTTCGTAACTTTTGAAAAATGAAAAAAAGTCGTTTTTGTTCAATAAAATCAACATTGAGATGGTATTTTTGGTGGGAATTTTTGAATTATAAAGAATTTTTTTGATATTTTCAAGGAATTCTTTTTGTGAAATACTTCTTAAATTCCTCATTAACCCGTAAAAAAAGCCCGTTTTTTTCAATTTTTGAGAAGTTTAAAGAAAAATTGATCAGTTTTTTTAAGTTTTTTTGGTGGGATTTTTTTGAAGTAAAATGGGAATTTTTAGTAGGAATTTTTCCATTTTAAAAAAACAATTCTTAACCTTGATTTGAAGATTTTCTTTAATTTTTTTAATACTATTTTGATGGTTTTTCCAAATTCAGCATTTTTCAAATTTCTTATTGCCTATGTACTTCGACGACAAATTCCCAGAAAAAAATCTTTTTTTTTTTCATTTTTTTGCAGTCCCTTATTGAGTCATTTCGTTGTGCAAACTGGAGCGGCTCATTTTTCATGTGTTTCTCTGAAAAAAGTGCAGATTTTCTTGTCCTTTTCGTGTTTTTCGTATTTTTTAAGTCATTGTAAGATAGAAAGGAAGTATTTTTCCATTTTTTTGGTCTCTTTTTATTTTTGAAAGCCCCTTTGACGTCAAATCCGCTTTCAAAAGGATTTATTTGGCTTTTTCCGGAGTAAATTTGAATTTTCGAGGCTTTTTTTGGTTTTTTATATGTTATATGGCTTTAAAAGTTGATTCCGAGCAATTTCTTTATTTTTTTTAACCGCTACATGATCATTTTTCGTTAGATCTGCGTTCTTATTTTTATTTTTTGAGCCATTTTTCGGTATTTTTCATCGTTTAGTATGGAATCCAAAAAGGGGGCGTGGCCAATCCTTTGAGCTCCATTTTTGGAATTTTTCATCATTTGGTATGGAATCCAAAAGGGGCGGAGCCTGTCTGCGCTCTCCACAATCTATACACACTCTTTTTTCTCGATCGTGTCAGGACCCTTTTTTTGAAATTCTTCTTCATTTTTTCACGTTTCATTCCGTTTTTCTTTGTCCCTTCAAAATGCAATTCCAAGTGGTCACTTCAGGGCATGGTTGACTACTACCATCAGCCGCCGTCCTACCATCCGGGCCAGCCCGGCGGCCACGACTACACCCAGCAGGAGGAGGAGTGGGACCGCGAAGGGCTCCTCGACCCCGCCTGGGAGAAGCAGCAGAAGAAGGTACTTGAGGATGAAAAATGCGCTAAAATTTGACCCTAAGGGTTTTTTTTTTGTGATTTATATGATTCTGGGGAATATTTTGGGCTGAAAAATGAGCTTTCTGTTGGAAAAATGAACAGATTCGTGATCTTAATTCTGAAAAATGTGTATAAAAATCGACTTTCTCCGTTTTTTTAATTCGAGAAAAAAAGTTGAGCTGAAAATCGAGCTTTCTGTTGAAAAAATGATCAGATTTGAGGGTTTATTTTGAAAAATGTGGGTAAAAATCGACTTTAATCGCTTTTTTCAGATTTTTTTTGAGTTTGAGAATAAATTTGGGCTGAAAAATGATCTTGATGTTGAAAAAATGAACAGATTCGAGGTTTATTCTGAAAAATGTGGGCTCTAATTGACTTTAGGCACTTTTTTCAGAGTTTTTATGATTCCAGAAAAATTTTGGGCCGAAAAAATGAGTTTTTCTGTTGAAAAAATGAACAGTTTTAAGGGCTTTATCCTGAAAAAAATTGGGCTAAAATCGACTTTTCTCACTCTTTTTTTCAAATTTGTTGGTTTGAATGTTCATATTTTCTATAAGAAAAGCAGCAAAAGAAATATAAGATGATTCTGAGAAAAAAAAACTCTGAAAAAAATGAAATTTCCTTGGAAAAAAATTAACAGACCCGGGGATTTATTTTTGAAAAAAATGGCCTAAAAATCGACTTTTTCCAGTTTTTTTCCAGTCTGGATTTGTTTAAAAAAATTAGTTATTTTTTTGTCTTCTTTCATGATTTTTTTAGAATAAATTTGAAGAATATAAGAAATAGGGTGATGGAAATTTGCACTTTGATGGAATAAAAAGCTCCGGAATTTTTCTTTTTTTACGAAAAAAATTTGAATTCCTAACCGATTGTCCATTTTTTCATGAGCAAAAAATTGAAAAAATCGCTTAATCATTTTTTAATTGAAGGTGCGAGTTTTTTAGAGCAGTTTTTGTGTTTTTCAATAACTGACACAGTTTTGAGGTTCAAAAAGGCTTGATTTTCCGGTTTTTGGGTTTCTAGTTGTAAATTTTTGCTAGTTTTTCTCTCATTTTTTGATTTTTCCTAGTCTTTTGATCATTTTTCTATGATTTTTTTGTATAAATCCTATATGAATATAGCTTTCCCCCGCACCACTTGACACAGAGACGCCGAAAAATGAAACAACGAACTCGTTTCCCTTGGCGGCCATTTTCTCGGCCACTTGCCGCGAAAAATTGAAAGGCAAGAGCCATTACGGTCATTCATAATTCCCATCGTCCGAATCGAAATGCAACTTGAGAGTGCAATTTTCAAAGAGGGATTTCAACGGGATCTAGGAGGGCTTTCCGAGGGATTTTCTGGGAGATTTTGAGGCTCAAAGTGTTTTGGAAAAGTTCTAGGGCATTTTTACTCGATAAACTTGAGATTTTGTCTTTTTTTGGGGTCTCTGAGTCGAAAAAGGCAACTTGAGTGTGACATTTCCAAAGAGGGATTCTATCGGGATCTGGAAGGGCTTTTGGAGGAATTTTGTGAAAGATTTTTGAGGCTCAACGGGTTTTGGAAAAGTTCTAGGACATTTTTACCTGAGATTTCGTCTTTTTTTGGGGTCTTTGAGTCAATAAATGCAACTTGAGAGTGAAATTTCCAAACAGGGATTCTATCGGGATCTATGAGGGATTTTCTGGGGAAATGCAGGATTTACGGGCCCTTTGAGCGTTCGTTAGGGGTGCAAAAAGGTTTCCAATGATTGTTCTTAAACGGTTCCTTTTTACTGCCTTTTTCCACCCTTTCATCGGCCTTTATCCACCCTTTTTCGACCCTTTTGAGAGCCACAAAAATTTTTAAATTGAGAATAATCTTTACCAGTGACTGTGTATGCACCAAAATGTGCTACAGTAATAAAATCGAAAATCATCAATGGCCCTTTTTGCACCCTTTTTTGAACCCACCAAGAAAAAAAGGCTCAATAAAGGCCACGAAACGGAACCCTTTCAGCGGCCATTTTGCACCCGTTTTCCGCACTTCTGACTTTGGCAATGATCAGAGGGATTTAGAAAAACGGTTCTAGGTCATTTTTGCTCGATAAATTCAAGATTTTGCCATTTTTTGGGGTTTTGAATCGAAAAATGAACGATTTTTAGCTTTTATTGAGATGAAATGTAGCTTAAATATCACTAAATTCATTATTTTCTGGTCATTTTTGGGACAATTTCGGATTTTTGTAGTGTTTCTTCTTCTCATTTTTTTCTGTAAAAAAATGATTATTTTAATCATAAAACTTTCATTTTTTTAAATTTTCTTCAGAAAAAAAGCTATTTTTTTAACATAAAATAATAGATTGTAAGAAAAAAATATGTCTTTTTTTGTTCGAAAAACTTGAATATTTCATGATTCTCCCCGTTTTGATGCTTTAAAATGGCTTGAACAAATTTTTCTCATCCTTGAAAAAAAAAAACCGGATTTTTTCTTTGAAGACACTTATTTATACAGTGTCAAAAAGAAGCGTCACCTCGAGTTTTTTTCCGTGTTGATTCAACTTTTTTTTCCGACGAAAAATGATTCAGCCACTTTTTTTTTCTGTTTATCTATCTTCATTTTTTGTTTGCAAAACGAAATCCTTGAAAAATCGAGTGGAAAATATTTTTTTAGTAGTGGAAAAAAATGAGGGGAAAAACATGAAAAATATGTGGATTTTTGGGTAAAATTTGGTTTTTTTGGGCTGGAAATTGGATTATTAATTTTCTGAAAAACCTTTTTGGTTGCAAAAAAATAAATTTTTTTCGAGGGGGGTTAAAAAAACGTTGGTTTTTTTCTGAAAAAAATGGTAAATTAGTTTTCTGAAGCTCTGGTTCATTAAAAAAAGATAAAAACTCTTTTTTTCTTTCTTTTTTTGATCAATCCTCGAAAAAAATTTGTGGGGGGTTTAATCAGGGCCAATAACATGAAAAAAATACAATATTTTTCGAGAAAGTTGGTTTTTTTAGGTTGAAAAATAGGGTCATTTATTATATAAAATTCCTTATTTTTTTGTTTTCGAAATCAAATCCTCAAAAAAATAATTTTGGGGGGGTTGGTTGGCTTGAACTATCAGGACAAAAAAACATAAAAAATGTTGGATTTTTGGGAAAAGTTGGTTTTCATAGTTAAAAAAACCGATTCATTTATTTTCTAAGCTTCATTTTTCTTTGCGAATGGCAGATGCCTTGAGGGCGTATTACAGCAAGAGAGTATTTAGCCAAAGATCTGTCAACTCGAGGCTTTTTTTCCTGTGTTTTTCTATGTTTGTTGGCTGAGTGATGGCCAAAGTGTGTGCAACTCGATCCGATCCCGGAGAGTGTGAAAAATAAAAGATTTGAAGGGGTTTTTTGTTGCTTTTTTTGAAGGAAAGTGGAAGAAGAGATGATTTTTTGAAGTTTTTTTTGGTTATTTTGAACTTCCAGAATCAAATTTTTCAGTAGTTTTGGTAATTTTTTTGAGTAAAAAAGATTTGAAGCTTAATAATTAACGAAAAAGGTATTTTTTTTAAAAATCCCCCCTTCGCAAGCCAAACTTTGACGGCTGGGGGGGGGGGGGCTATTCTCATTCTAGTATCAAAAACTTTTTGGTTAGAGCTGAAGTAAATATGAAAGGCTATTTCTTATTCTAGATTCGGCCCCCGCCCCTCTTCAATTTTTGGATTAATCAATACAAGCTTTTTTTCCGGATCATTCCACCCCCAAACCAGCAGAGCAGATATATTTCACCTGTCAGAGAGGGGGAGGAAGTCAAAAAAAGTCAAAAAAATAATGAATCAAAAAGGCCCCTCGCCCCCCCTCCTACATTCGAAAATAGTTCACCTCTTCTAGAATCCCCCAGCAGAACAAAGGGGGAGGGCGTACGGATGGGACTTCTTAAATAAGACGGGGGGTGAATTTCGGAAAAAAAGATAATTTTTGTGAGTTTTCGAAGAAAGTTGGTTTGATGAAAAATCGTCAAACTGCAACATAAAATCAAAAAAATGAAATGAATATCCGGTTTTCAGACCTTCACAGCTTGGTGTAACTCACACTTGCGGAAAGCCGGGACCAGTATCGAGACGATTGAAGAGGACTTCCGCAATGGTTTGTCGATTTTATTCTCCTTTTTTGAGCGGGCTAACCCACTAGCGGGTCCGCCCGATCCATTTTATAGTGCGATATCCGATCTGCTTTCAATGCTTTAGTCAAGATTTTCTCCCGAGGGAGAAATTTGGGAGAACCCCTATTTTTTCCGGTGTTATCCCGATTTTTTCCCGCGATATCCCGATTTACTCCCGAGGGATCCCGATCTTCTCCCGTGCGATCCCGATCTTCTCCCACGGGATCCCGATTTACTCCCGCTGTAGAGAATTATAATAGAAATAGTCAGAATTGATAACCTGACCAGTTTTGAAGCATTTGAACAGGATTTGAAAGCTCTTTTTCTCTGATCAATCAATCAATCAATCAATTTATTTTCCGCAACATCGGGATGGTATGGTGAGTTGCAGGGAGGGAAAAAGACCACTAGGTGGATTAACTAACCCCACCTGCGAAGAAAAAAGTTTTTTGTATATAGTCAATCCTGATGTTTGTGTTCATTCAAAAATCGGATAAGCATTCTAATATCAATTTCCAGGTCTCAAGCTCATGCTACTGCTTGAAGTCATCTCCGGAGAGCCCCTACCTCGACCGGATCGCGGAAAAAAATGCGATTCCACAAAAATCGCCAATGTTAATAAGGTATAGTAGAGAAACTTCTCTCGAAAAAAAAGTTATTTTCCATATTTTTGACTTTGTCTGATTCCTTAGGTGTTTTTGAACTTTTCTTGGTTTTTCAAACTCAGTGAAGTTGCCTTCAGACGCCGAAATTTTAGCCTTTTTAGGTCTACCAGGATTTTTTGAGTTTTTTAGAGTATTTTCCTCAAAATTAGTTTTTTATGGACTTTCTTATGGATTTCCAAATATAGCTTTCCTTTTTTTTAATTTTTCAGGATTTTTTTCGAAATTTTTTTCCTTCATATTGGTGTAACTAGAATTTATGCACTTTTTTCTCAAAGTCCTTAATTTTTCAGAAAGATGAGATTTTTTACATGATGAGGGGTTTTGCAGGGTTTTAAACACGGTTTTCTGATTTTTTTTTTTTTCGGACTTTCTCCAAAAAATCAACTTTCTCCAGGCCCTGGAATACATCGAATCAAAAGGCGTGAAGCTGGTTTCGATTGGAGCCGAGGAAATTGTCGACGGAAACGTCAAAATGACGTTGGGCCTCATTTGGACCATTATCCTTCGGTTCGCCATCCAGGATATCAATGTTGAAGGTGAACAAAAAAAATTTATAGTCCATCCTTTTCGACTTGAAAGTTGGAAGGACCCTTTACGGGCCCTTTGAGGGTCCGTTATGAGTGCAAAAAGGTTCCCATTAATTGTTCCTAAACGGTTTCCTTTTTACAGCCTTTTACCGTCCTTTCCTCGGCCTTTTTCCACCCTTTTTGGACCCTTTTAAAATTGCAAATTGAGAATAATCTATACCAGTGGCTGTGTTGCACCAAAATGTGCCACAGTATTAAAACTGGAAGAATCAATGGCCGAGCCTCTCAGCACCCTTTTTGCACCCTTTTTTGAGCCTTTTCAGCCCACCAAGAAAAAAGCCTCAATAAAGGCTGCAAAATGGAAACCTTTTAGCGCCTATTTTGCACCCATTTCCCTCCCCCCTTCCGACTTTGGCAGTGGATGGGGAAGGGAAACGCGTTGCGTACGCGACGCGGCTTTTTCGCGAGGACCTCGAGGCCCACCATTTTTCCAAGCTCTCTTTTATTTTGACACTTTTTTTACCTAATCTCGATTTTTTTTTAAACCTTGAAAGCATTTAGTTGAACAAAAAAAACCCAATGATTGATTAAAAACAAACTTCACTCTAATAATTTTCATAGGGAGAATATTTTTTTTATCCAATTCTTGAAACGTAGATCAATTAGGTTGACCTGTGAATCTTGATATCAGAGAATATTACATTTTTTTCTTAAATTACAGTTTGAATATTATAATAATAATAATAAGACATTTTTTTCAAATTGTGAATGGGGTTCTTCCGGTAAAAAACAGAGAAAAACCGAAAAAAATTCAAGGAAAAAAATAATTTTCATATGATATGTTTGACGATTTTCAAGATTTTGACCCCCCATGGTTCTGTAAAAAAATATCTTTATTACCTTTACTTTCTTTCCAGAGCTCTCGGCCCGCGACGGCCTTCTTCTGTGGTGCCAGCGAAAGACGGCCCCCTACAACAATGTCAACGTGCAGAACTTCCACAACTCCTGGAAGGACGGCCTCGCCTTCTGCGCCCTCATCCATCGTCATCGGTTCAGAAGCAAAGAGTTCTTGACCAAAAAAGGCTTTTTCCAGTCCCGACCTTCTGGACTACTCGCAGTTGCACAAGGGCGACCCCATCCACAACCTCAACTTGGCCTTCGACATCGCCGAGAAGCACCTCGACATCCCGAGAATGCTCGACGCTGAAGGTTTGTCCCCCGAAAAAGCAATTTCCAGAGCTTAGAACCTTTTTCTTCAATATCACCTTTCCACGACCCTGTACAGACGTGGCACGTCATCCGGACGAAAAGTCGACGATGACCTACGTCTCCTGCTTCTACCACGCCTTCAGAAACGCCCGCGAGCATTCGGTCAGACCCGCGGTCGTCGTTCAGCCGCCACCGCCACCGCCGCCGCCTGAGAGGGACTGGCGCAAAGATGTGAGCCGCGTGATGGAGTTTCCATGTTTTGTGCTGTCTTGTTGACGTTGAGAAGACGTCCTGGAGGTTTCCTTCCATGTCCGAGTGGTTCTGTATGAGCTGAAGATGTCTTTTTGCGATTTCTGCCGACGTCGAAATCCCTATATAGTCGTGAAGAAGTCACACACTGCCCCAGCGATTCTGTATGAGCTGAAGGTGTCTTTTTTTGGCTTCTTCTGACCTCGAAGATGTGCTGAAGCCGTGAAGGTCTCATATTCTGTCCGAAAGGTTTTGTATGAGCTGAAGATGTCTTTTTGCGATTTCTTGCGTCGTCAAAGACGTTCTCAAGTCGTGGAGAAGTCTCTTACTGTTCCAGTAGTTCTGTATGAGCTGAATATGTCTTTTTTTGCGACTTCTGCTGACCTAGAAGACGTGCTGAAGTGATGAAGGTGTCATATCCATTCCGAAAGGTTCTGTATGAGCTGAAGCTTTCGGAATCTTTTTTTCGACTTTTGGCGACGTCGTAGACGTGCTGAAGCCGTGAGGAAGTTTTTTACTGTGCCAGTGGATCTGTATGAGCTGAAGTTGCCTTCTTTTGAGTTTTGTTTACTTTGAAGACGTGCTGAAGTCATGAATGGGTCTTATTATGTCCGAAAGGTTCTGCATGACTGAAGATGTCTTTTTTTCGACTTTTGGCGACGTCGTAGACGTGCTGAAGCCGTGAAGAAGTTTTTTACTGTGCCTGTGGATCTGTATGAGCTGAAGACGCCTTTCTTTGAGTTTTGATTTTTTCAAAGACGTGCTGAAGTCATGAACAACTCATATACTGTCCGAGTGACTCTGTGTGAGCTGAAGTCGCCTTTCTTTGAGTTTTGGTTACTTTGAAGACGTGCTGAAGTCATGAAGGTGTCTTAATATGTCCGAAAAGTTCTGTATGACTTGAAGATGTCTCTTTGCGATTTCCTGCGACGTCAAAGACGTTCTAAAGCCGTGAAGGTCTCATATTCTGTCCGAAAGGTTCTGCATGACTACAGATGTTGTCTTTTGACTTTTGACGACGTCGAAAACGTTCTGGGGTCGTGAGGAAGTCATCTACCATCCCGGTGGTTCTCTAAAAGCTGCTGGTGTCTTTTTCGACTTTTAGTGACCTCAAAGACTTTCTGGAGTTGTGAAAGTGTCATGTCCGAGTGATCCTGTTTGAGCTGAAGATGTCTTTTTTTGAAAAAGTTTCCGGAGGGCGTCAAGGAGACGTTCGCAAACGACTGTAGACATCAGCGTCTCATCGTGTGAAGTTCTGGAATGCCATATCATGTTGACACGATGCCCAGAATTCCTCTGTCGAGTTTGAGGACTTCCGGAAGTTCTGAATGATGATTTCAAGAAGGCGTTGTTCCGAAGCCTTGGAAGTTATCAAGAAGACGTTCAGAGAAATTTTTCTGTTGAATTCGTCGCAGTTGAACTGTAGACAGGCCTCGACATACGACATGAGTGATTCTGAAGCCTTACAGAAGCCATGAAGGCGTCATGTTCTGTCCGAGTGATTTTATATGAACTGAAAATGTTTTTTTTCTGAGAGATGGAGCCATTATGAAGTCGAGAAGACGTTGCAAGCTCAAGGTGACATAATTTTTGTCAGTTATTCTTGTCCGTCGAATTAATTTTGATTGATTTCCGATAATAAACTGTGTTTTTTGAAGTCCAATATAATGATTTCAGAACTAATGAGTGGTTTTTCCCCCCTTACAACCTGTTTTTACAGATTTGGCCAACTCACAGCCCGATGAAAAGGCCGTCATGACCTATGTCTCGTGTTATTATCACTACTTTAGCGGCATGCGAAAGGTTTTTTCGTTTTGAAATAACGCTCTCGGACGTTTCTGAGCACCTCTAGGGATCACTTAAGAGTGCTGGCGCCTAAAGTGGTCACTAGAAATGCTCAGAAACGAGTTCATGTTGATTTTTACATGTTTTCTTCTCCCTTTTCGGTGAAAATTGAAGATTTTCAGGCCGAAACTGCGGCCAACCGAATTTGCCGCGTCCTGAAGGTCAACCAGGAGAATGAGAAGATGATGGAGGACTATGAGAATCTCGCCAGTGATGTGAGGAATTTCAAATTATTCACTGAATCCTGAAAAAATAAAGCGACAGAATTGTTAAAAATAGAGTTTCAAAATTTGAAAATGAGAATTTATACAATAGATCGCATCATTTTCATGTTAAAAACTCAAAAAAAAAACGGAAAAATGTTGAATTTCATCCATTTTGAGGGTACGGTAGTCGGTTGTGCATACACCGATAGTCGAACCTGCACAAGTTGCGCTTTAATTTACGACACTTTTTCATTTCACTTGTTCCAGTTACGTTTCAAGTCGATTAGTTGTGTTTTGATCATTGCTTTAGGTAATAAACTGGCGCATCGCAGCTGAAAAAAGTTTTAGTGGCCACTTAAGGGTTTTAACGTTTTAGTGGCCGCTTTAGGAGTGAAGTTAGTGGCTTTTTGAGTTGCTGAAATTTAGTGGACTAGGAGTCTATATGGTATTACTAGATCCTTGAAACTGCTCTAGGAGCCACTAAGATGCGGCTTCTATAGAAGTGGCATAAGTAGCCACTTTAGTGTTTTTTCCAAGTATTTTTTTTCTCTTTTCACTAGAAACTTGAGTTTTTATTTTATTCGGAACAGGAAACCTTTTTTCTTGTAATCCAGGTTAAGGGTTAGTTTATCATACTATATCACTAATATATTTTATTTTATCTAAGTTTTTAATTCAAGATTTTTTTAGCGATTTTTTTCAAATTTTCAATTTTAAGCTTCTCGCCTGGATCAATCGATGGATGCCGTGGCTGGCCAACCGCAGCACGGACGACACTTTGCCGCAAGCTCAGCAGAAACTTGAAGACTACCGTAACTACCGAAGGTAATGTAGTGGGATACGGTAGCCAAAAATGCGTGAAATTGACTTTCAACTGAAATTTTTGACATTTTTTGAGGGATTTTTCGATTTTTAACCTTTTTTCTTCTTACAAGAAAGACTTGCTTTAGTATGATTGTTGTTAAAAGAAATTTTCCAGACGCGAAAAGCCGCCGAGGATCGAGGACAAGGGACGTCTCGAGACGCTTTTCAACACCCTCCAAACTCGTCTCAGACTCTCCAACCGGCCAGCCTTCCTGCCCCGAGATGGACATCTCCTCAAGGACATCCACGCCGCCTGGAACCGTCTCGAAGACTCGGAGAAGGGCTTCGAGGAGTGGCTCCTCAGTGAGATCATGCGGTAAGATGCGGTCCAAGTCATTAAACCTAGAAAGATGGATGATTTGAAATTTAAAGGGGAGGCTCCTGTAAAGACATCTAATGGATCTTGGAGGAATTTATTCAAAAAAAAAAAAAACTTCCTGGACTTTTATAGCCATTGTACTGGTTTTTTTTCCGTTCTCATAGCTCCGTAGGCCTTTTCAACTTGAAGATTTCTGAAATCTCGTAATTTTTTCACTGCAATCTCAGAGCGCAAATCGTTACAGAGGATCCTATTGAAATTTCCTGTTTTGCTAATCGTGTCAAGACCCTTTTTGAACATTCTCCCCAGTCCGAAGCGCAACAGGTTCTGACTATGGTTCACAGGGTCACAAGTTCGATCCCCGCCGCGACCCAATCAAGGGGAGGGGATAACGATGAACTCATAGTCTAGAATGCTTTAGTTAATAGAATTAATGGAATTTAATCAATAAATTATTTAAATAATATAATTAATAGAATTAAAACGCTCCTTCACTCCTTAGAATGCTTTCAGGGTTGAAAAGGATCAAAAAAAACTCCATAGAAATATTCCTTTTAGAGTGACTTTTTTGGTACCATTTTGCGCCATTTCATCGGCTATTTTGCCCCATTTTTGCTGCCTCTTACTTTTTCCACCATTTCTTGAGCTTTTAAAATCCCAGAAAAATGGAAGGATCGATAAAAGGACTCTTTTGGCGGCCTTTTTTGAGCCTCTCCCTTTTAGCCGCCAGTATCCACCATTCCGACTTCGCGCAAGAAGTTAGCACCGGATGAAATTAATTATTGGTTTTCCTTGACCCTATCGATCCCTTTACAGCCTCGAACGCCTCGAGCACCTGGCTGAGAAGTTCCGACGCAAGTGCGCCCTCCATGAAGAATGGGCCCACGGCAAGGAAGACGCCTTGAAGAGCAACGACTGGCGCAGCTGCGGACTCTACAAGATCAAGGTCCTGGAAAGCTCCTTCAGGGCTTTTTCGAAGAGATTCAGATTTTGATGATCTCTAGGAATCCCCTGACCCAAAAAAAAAATTTTTTGGGGTTTTACTTCTTAGAACCTTTACTTTAAGGTCATTTGTTAAACTCAAATGATCATAATTCTATCTGTAGGTATCCTGAACTCATGTTTCAGGTACCAAAAAGTTCAGAATTGTATGCTTGATAATCCTGAAAGAACAGTACTTTTTAAAAAATCTCAACTTCTACTAAAATCTTCCTATTTTAGCTTTAGGTATAAACTTTAGAATTTTAAGGCGAAAAATTTGATTTTTTCACTTTTCTAGGAACAGAGGATATCTCAGCGAATATTCATAAGATTCTGAAATTTTTTTAATTGTGTAATCTTTTAGATGAAAGTTTAGTGTATTCCGCGCGACACAATAGAGAAAAAGCTACCGTAAGCTCAATTTTTTTTCGCTTCGAGACGTTGTGAAAAACTCTAAAATTCGCGAAAACCAAAAAAGCCGTCAGACAGTGAGAAAGATAACTAAATTTGAGAGATTTAGAGATAATTTTGCATTTAGAAAATTCAATTTTGAACGAGGAATGAAAAAAACAGGCGTAATTATAGAAAGTACAAGGAAAATTGGAGTTTTTACCGAATTTATAGGATTCTTGACGCGAAAAAAACGTGACAAGAAATTGACCACTTCCATAATGAAATATCTACTTTTAGGCCCTTCGCAAACGGCACGAGGCCTTCGAAAGCGACCTCGGCGCCCACCAAGACCGCGTCGAGCAAATCGCGGCCATCGCCCGCGAGCTCAACAACCTCAGATATCCCGACATCGGCCCGATCAACTCCCGCTGCCAGGCGATCTGCTCCCAGTGGGATCGCCTCGGACAGCTGTCCTCCCAGCGACGCGAGCGCTTGGAGGAGGCTGAACGCATCGCCGAACGTCTCGACACTCTTTATCTCGACTTTGCTAAGAGGTGCTGGAAAATGAAAAAGAGCTTGAAAAATTGTAGGAGGGTTGTTTTAACTTGGAATGGCTTGATATTGATTGGAATAGACCAAAAAACGATTTTTTTTTAAGATAATCAGAAGTTTTCTCCTCGGAAATCTTTATCTCGACTTTGCCAAGAGGTGCTGGAAAATGAAAAAAAAACAAAAGGCTGGAAAAATTTTAGGGGGGTAGTTTCGGAATTGGCCGCACTTGGAATGGCTTGATATTGATTGGAATAGACCAAAAAACGATTTTTTAAGATAATCAGAAGTTCTCTCCTCGGAAAGCTTTATCTCGACTTTGCTAAGAGGTGCTGGAAAATGGGAAAAAAAAGCTTGAAAAATTGTAGGAAAGTGGTTTTGACCTTGGCCGCACTTGGAATGGCTTTTTTAGATATATTTATGAAGCGACCTTTTATCTGAACTCTGCCAAGAGGTGCGGGAGCTCTAGGTGTTGGAAAAAGGAAAAAAAGACTTGAAAATAGAAAGGAAGGTTTTTTTTGGTCGCATTTGGAATGGCTTATTAAGAGAGATACTCTTGATGTGATTTTTTGTCCAAATTATTCTAGATTTTAAGGAGTTTTTGGTGACGAAAAATTAGAAAACTAGCTTTGAAAAATCATAGGAAGGTAATTTTGACCTTGGCCGCACTTGGAATGGCTGAACCAAAAAAAATAGAATTATGGGATTTCTTCACGCTTTTGTAACCGAGCTTGGTCAAGGAGATTTTAAGCTTGAAAAATTGAAAAATCGAGTTTTTACCTTGGCCGCACCTGGAATGGCTTCTTTAGAGATATTTTCTTGATCAGATTTTTTATCCGATTTTTTCTAAAGGCTTAAAAATTCTCAGTGTCGAAAAATGGAAAAATGGTTAAAAACGAGAAAAAAATGCTTATGGTGAAGCATAATTCGCGCTGGAACTTGTTTGTGATTTTTTTTTTTCGGGTTACGGTAGTAGGTTGTGTATACACTGACACTAATTTTCTGCACGGAAAACAATTTATTTGACGACAATTTTATCATTTTTCTCTTTTTCCGTTTTTTAAAAACATTTTTTTTAGAGCAGCTCCGTTCAACAACTGGCTGGACGGCGCTCGTGAGGACCTGGCCGATCTGGTGATTGTCCACGAAATGCGCGAAATCGAGGAGCTCGTCTCGGCTCACGACGCCTTCAAGTCGACTTTGGGAGATGCTGATCGTGAATTCACCAGCATCAGTCAGATTGAACAGGTGCTGGCTGTACCTGAGCGCTTTTTGAATGAAAAAATTGGTCATGAGATGGTTAATAAAGCTTGTAGTAGTTCATTTATTCGTAAAGCTTGGAAAATTCTCATTTGCTTTTTTTTCTCAGGAAGTCGAGCACCTCGTGACGTCACACGGCCTGGACCGCGAGCTCCTGCGCAACCCCTACACGGACCTTGCGGCCAGCGACATCCGCCGCAAGTGGGGCGAAGTCCAGTCGGCGGTGCCGCGACGCGACGGTCAACTCCAAGGCGAACTCCGCCGCCAGCAGAGTAATTTCGCCGCTTCGCGACGTTTTCGGGATTGAGGACTTCTTAGACTCCTTAGATTGCATAAAAAGAGCCGAAAGCCGCGCCGAGTCGGCTGCAACTTCCTTGTGCTTTTCTTGAAGCCCTCTACCCCAAAAACTGGAGAACCAGTGTCTTCCAAACTGGAGGTTTCAGACAACGAACGCCTGAGGACCATCTTCGCCGACAAGGCCAACAACGTCGGCCCTTGGCTCGAGAGGGAGCTGGAGCAGGTAAAAGAGAGCCGGAGATGCGGGCTTGTGTAAGAGAAGCCACAAAAGAGTCTGGAAAAAATAGCCTCCAAGGCCGAGGAAAGTGCGCTCCACGGATAATCGTAACTTTTTGAGCAGGTTTTTGCCATGGTGGGCATCCTGGGCTGGCCCGGGCTTTGGAAGAAGTTCGGCTAGGTCAATAAAGTTTTAGAATTCCATCGAAAAATGTTCCTTGGCTCATAATTTCAATTGTGAATATCATAGTTTCTGTTAAATTTTATTGATTCGAAGAGAAAATGGGCGCTATTTGGGCCATACCGGGCTTAGAGAATGGTCGGGAAGGGGGAGGGCGATAGGCGGGCTGAACAAGCCCGGGGAGGACGATAGGCGGACCAAACAACCCCGGGAATTTGCCAAAAGGCGCTAGAGGTTGCTGTAAGTGCGCTCCATGGATAATCGAAAAATTCTCCGGACTCAGACTACGGTAATTTTGAAGGTTCTTGCGATCGGCCTCGGTGGTCGCGGACGTCTCGAAGACGCGATTCAACAACTCCGGTCGATCCAAAGAAACGCCCTCGGCTACAAGCCGAACTTGGAGGAACTCGAGAGGATATACCAGGAAATGCAGGAGAACTTTGTTTTCGAGAACAGGAAGTCGAGGTTCTTCAGAAACCAAAAAGGGCGGGTTGAATAAGGGAAGCTTCAGATATTCCATGGAATCGCTCCGTGTCGGATGGGAAAGCCTGTTGACCAGCATCAACAAGACGATCAATGAGCTCGAAAATCAGGTTTTTTTTTTGTTTCTAGTTGATATTTTCAATATCACTGCATCCCAGGTGCTGCTCCGCGACAGCAAGGGCATCAGCGAGGAGCAGATCGCCGAGTTCCGCAACTCGTTCAGCCACTTCGACAAGGACCGGGCCGGCCTCGATCCCGAACAGCTCCGGGCGTGCCTCATCTCCGTCGGCTACACCATCCGGCCCGGACGCGAGGTTTACCCAAAGGCTGTCATTTTTTGGAAACTCCGTTCAAATTTGGCCCCACTCCGTAATGTACCGTCGCGTGTAGGGAAATCGAAAAATGCGGACTTTTTGATTTGGCGCCAAAAAACGTATCGCTTCTCATCAGATGCCGCAGCAGCCTTTCAATCGGGGCTATTACTCGTTCTAGAATCGCCCACCCCCCATCAAGGAAAGTTTTTGACGGGGGAAGTTAGAGCTTTTTGATGGGGGCTATATCTTGTTTTAAAATCCCCCTCTCAGGGAAATTTTTCGACGTATGAGGGGTGAAATCAAAGGCTTTTTGATAAGGGCTATATCTCATTCTGAAATCCCTCCCTCCCGCCCCCCCCGACTTTTTTTATTCTAGAATCGTCCCCCCCAACTTTTCTATTTTCTAGAATCATCCCCCCACCCCACAAAAACATGGGAAGCCTATCTGGAATAATCCTGACCCTAACTGTTCAAATTTTAAAATTCTAGTACAGTGACGTCATTTGAAAACGCTCTGTGAATGGCTCGCTCTTTTATTGTATTATGACGTCATTAGGGGCGGAGCTTAAGCGACGACTTGACATTCAAAACCTGAACATATATCTCCAACAATGACGCGGCTCAATTCATCATTTACCTATCAATAACTATCGAGAAAAGGTCGATTCTGAAGTCTGTCGTCTTCAGGGCGACGCCGAGCTCCACCGAATCCTCGCCCACGTCGACCCCAACCGCATGGGTCGCGTACCTTTCGAGGCCTTCCTCGACTTCATGACCCACGAACACGCCGACCAGGACACCGTCGAGCAGATGATCGACTCGTTCCGCGTCTTGGCTGCTGGAAAGGTGAGGATTCTGAAGACGTGGAAATGGCCCTCCTTGAAGATTTCAATGCTCAAGTGGTCACTAATCGATAGATTGATTAGAATGACGGCATTTTCAAAGTAATTATACATGACGTCACTTTGAATCTCTGAAGAAACCATGACGTCATCTTGTTGGGATGATGACGTCATTGATTTTTATAAGTGCTAACTTAAGGTGAAAAATGACGTCATCAGTTTGATTGCTGATGACGTCATTCAAGGCTTTTTCGATAATATGACGTCATATCCATAATTTTGGTCTTAATGACGTCATTATTACGTTCAGCGTCTTTTTTTTTGAGTAGTGAAGATTTAATAGAGCCAAAATTGGTTGATTTTCAATTGGAGGTCTTTTCTTGAACTATGACGTCATAATTCGAGGCGATGACGTCATAGATCACCTCTTTCTTGATTAAATTCTGTTTTTTTTTTCTAAAAATGTTAGGTTAAAGACGAAGGTTTCACTATAGGGACGTCATAAACAGATCTTTCGAGTTTATTTTAGTACTCTTACGTATTTTTCAAGGTCCAGAAGCCTTGAATGACCTGAAATGGCTCTTCTTCGAGACCTTTATAGAATTAGGCTATGCTCCTTTAAATTTATCGAGACTGAATAATCACTATTCTAGCCGTTCATCACGGCCGACGAGTTGGAACGAGAGCTGCCGCGCGACCACGCGGCCTACTGTATCGCGAGAATGGCGCCCTACCGAGATCCCTCGGCCCCGCCCCGTTCCTACGACTACGTCACCTTCAGCCGCAGCTTGTACTCTCAATAAACAACTTTTCCGTTTCTCGAATAATCTAAATTCAAAAGTAGCTCTATATTTATTTCAAATATATTATTCTATGCCCAATAGAAACGCTATTTTTTTCAATTTCTAAAGCTAATCAAAAAAAAAAGTATTTTTTCTTTCTATTTTCCACTAAACCTCCAAGAGAGTAATAATTTTCTGTTTGTTGTATATAATTATCGATTTTTTTCCACCCGTTGCGATTGAAGCTTTCATGTGTGTGTGTGTTTCCTTGTTCTATATTCTTTCTTTCTTTGTCATTCAAGGTTTTTTTGTTCTCTCAAATATATGCGATTATTAGACGTTAGACGAATGAATTAAATAATTTCAGAATGGTTCTGTAATCTGTCCATGAAGAGCAAAATTTGTGACAAGAAACTGAATCTAACATTTTTAAAGCAATATTAATCCTGACAAAAAACCACAAAAATTCGAAAATACCAGTAAACAGTTCTGTGATTTAATTAAAACAATCAGGGAAAACGAGGATTCAAAAAAGGAATTCAAGACACCATTAAGGAAATCTGCGTAAATAGACAGGAGCTGCGCGTGAAATAAAATGCATTTTCCGCAATGGCGCCGTGTCCACGACAGAACAAGCTACAGTAACCGTCCAAATTCGAATGCCCGCTTTTTTCGTTGTTTTTCTTGTTTTTTTTTAGAGGATATTTCAAAGGAATCATTTATGGATAAAATGTTCATAAATCGATAAAAAGGTGAAAGAAAGACAAATCCCAAGAAAAATTATGAGCAAAAATAAAAATCAACCAAACCACTAAAATACAGGAAATTTCGTCTTTCAATTCGAGAAAAATTGACTATCCTTCAAAATTTATATTAAAAAAAGGGGAACGTGAGTTGAAATTGAGCTCATTTCTACAAAGCGCTCTCGCTAATGAATGGTTTATTTCATTTCTTTTTTTTTAAACTCATTTTTCCCCTTTCAGGAAGTTCTGTGAGTCCTAACAAGCTCATAGAATCATTGGATGGCGCACTAAAAATGGCCCTACGATAATGAAGTTACATCTAAAAAGTCCTGTTATTGGTAAGTTGAATGGAAAAAAATTCGGATTTTTAATTTTCAAGAAAAATATCAATTTCTATACATCTCAAAGTCATTTTTACGCTAATAGCTAACTCCAAAAAAATTTCTGTAGCCGGATTTTTTTTTCAAAATTCAATCAAAGTCCAAAGCACAGAAAGATCCTGTGATAAAAAAAGTACAAAAAAATTTGCATGGAAAAACAACGAAATCGCTCAAAAAGTCCACCATAAAGTTCATTTCTCCATATTTTCTCGTTCAAAATTTTTCCAATCTCTTTTTACTTCATATAAAACAAATTTTCTTCGAATTTTCCATGTTTTTTTCCACTCTAAACGGATTTTCTCAGCCATTTTTTTCCAAACAAGACTTGAAAAAACAATATTTTCATTGAAAAAAGCTTCTTTTTCAGCTTAACTATTCAAATTCCTCATTTTTGAAGGCTCCCATTAAAAAGCTGTTCGAAAAAAAACCGCAGCAAGGTTGCTTGCTCCCGGTGAGGATCGAACTCACGACCTTCAGATTATGAGACTGACGCGCTGCCTACTGCGCTACGGAAGCGGCCGGCGTTGTCAACCTGTTTCCTTGCAGATACACCATCCGCCTCAACGACGAGCCTCAAAACGTGCATCTCGAGGAATTTCGAAGACGACGACTGCAGCTGGCGTGATTCCCGTGCGTAGTGACCCCTTAAGTGATTTAAAATGCAACAATTTTTTTAGCACAGAAAGTGAAGGTGAAAGAAAATTCCCGGAGTCCAGAGGTCGTTCAGAGCTTCCCTACTGATGGGGTATTTTATTAAAAAATGTTTTTAGGATAAAAAAACATTTTTTTAAATTGAAGATTTTACAATCGATAGACGGCGCTTTATCAACAAATGCACAGAGGCACGAAACAACCATGGAAATTTTCATGCAGGTTGGTTGAAATTAAACTTTTTATTTTTTTATTTCTATTTTCTGATAGGAAGCATTAAAAAAATTATAAAAATTCCAAGCAAATGTTGAAAAACATCAAAAAGAAAAAAAAACTCTTTTTGAGGCATTTTGATTACGGTGGCCAAGTCAAGTCCGCAAACACGCTCAACTGCAGAAAAACATCAAAATGAAGAAAAATTTTTTTGGTTTTAAAATGCATATTTCAATCAGAATTCACTGTTTTATGTGTAAAATCACCCAAATTTCCGGAATTTTGATATTTAGCGCGTTTTAAAGACGAAATTGGATGAAAAATCCGAGCTTTTTTTCCTCAAAAAAATAAAAAAATCTTTATTTTTTTAGAGCGTTATTCCTTTCCTTCTAGCCGGCCTTGGTTCAATATCCGCCGGACTTTTACTATCCTACGCCCATCAAAATTTCAAGCTACTCAGAGAAGGTAATTAGTGAACTAATTAATTAATTAGTAGGACCAAAATTCCAGTTTCACTATTCCTGGCGATAATGCCACCGCTACAGGGTATGAAGGGCAACTTGGACATGACTTTTTGCTCCAGGCTCAGTACAATGGTAAAACAGCTATTTCTTTCAGAGCAAGGCTGCCCTATCGAACACTTCTACAGTAACCACTTCTTTCAGGCTCACAAAGGCGATTTCGCACGTCCCGGTCATTGTGAAGTCCTTCTTCGCAACATCGCGCTGATACAGGTTTGAATGAAGGATTTTTTTCGCCTATGACGTCACTGGGAGCTGGGTGGACGACGTCATGTCCAATGTCAATGACTTCATACATAAAAAAGTATAACGTAAATGTTTAGGAATTTTTATTTCTGTAAAAGCCTGTATATGGATATATACATATATATATATATATATATATATATATATATATATATATATATATATATGGCGTGACGTCATTCTCCTGCTTTAATGACGTCATCAATCTGAAAAAGTTCATAATGACGTCATAAAAATTGGCAAACCTAGCGGATTTCAACCTGTAGCTGTTACGAGAATAATTGAAATAGCAAAAAAAAAGCCAAATTTGAGTCTGATCAAAGTACAGTTCCGTTTTGTGGGACCTTTAATGACGTCATCGACAGAATTTTCAAAAAAGAACGCGCTCGCTAAGATTTGAGTGCCTAAAAAGCCTAAAGTCTTGTCCAAAAGAAGAAATGAAATTAGGATTTTCTTGACCAAAGAAACAAGAAGTATCACCCCCAACTTTGTTCATAGGCTTTGAAAGCATTTTTTTTAAGGACATTTTCAGAATCAGCGTAAAAAAATTACATCTAGGGAGGCTAGTCACTTTCGGAAGTCTCACTGTAAGCTGAGGAAATTCCCTAGTCGGTAACCTTTTAACCCCCCTAGAATTTCAACATGAACATTATTCATTTCAAAGCACGTTTCAAAACTCTGAAATGTCATTTTTGGCTTTTCAAAGTCGCGAATGACGTCACTGAACTCAAGAACCCCCAAGGGCCATTCTAGAAGCGTTATGACGTCACCACCTCTCCATGACGTCATTTTTTCCTAGGGTCAATCCGTGTTCGTGTGCCTGGTAGCCGACGCGATCTCCTACGCCGTCAGTCAGCTCCAAAAAGATGAAGTCAGCGCCAGCAGCGAGGATTTTTTATTCCTCGGCTGTGCCGCCGTCATCGCCATGGCCATCAACTGCGGAATCTCGACCTGTTGTGGGTTTTTTCAGATCATAAATCATTCAAAACATGGGCAAAGATGGAAAAAGTGGAAGAAGCCATAAAAATGTTCCTTCTCGGGTTGATAAAGGCTCCCTTTTTGCTGCCTTTCTGCGGCCTTTCTGCACCCTTTTTGCTCCCTTTTGCTGCCTTTTTGCTCCCTTTTTGCTGCCTTTTTGTGACCTTTCTGCGACCTTTCTGCAGCCTTTTCGCACCCTTTTTGCTGCCTTTTTGCTGCCTTTTTGGTGCCTTTCTTCGACCTTTCTGCTGCCTTTTTGCTGCCTTTTTGCAGCCTTTTTGCAGCCATTTTTGCTGCCTTTTCACAACCTTTTTGCAGCTTTTTGTGACCTTTCGGCAGCCTTTTTTGAGCCTCTCCATTTTAACAGCCATTATCCACGATTCCGACTTCGCCCCGCGAATAACCTCAATAAACTATTATTCAAAAATCTCATCTGCGTACTCTGTGACTACCGTAACCCTTCAAAAACCTGATTGTCTCTCTTTCAACGAACAAAAATCCCCAAGAGATCGAAACTAATCCGAAAACGCTCTAGCTGCGGACTCTATGTCTACCGTAATCCTTGCAATTTTCAGCCCTGGTCCTTCTAATCATGCACGCCTGGCGGAAAGGCTACGACCCGGACAACATTGTGACGCCGTTGGCGGCGAGTTTCGGCGACCTGCTGACGGTAGCCGTCATGGTGAGAAGTGGTCACTCTAGGAGTTTATCAGGATCTGCTATAGCTCCTCGTCTGCTACATCATCCGACCGTACACGGCCTTCAGTGTAGCCGTCCCGATCGTCATCCTCTGTTTTGCCGTCTCGACGACCTTCGGATGGATGTCATTCGCTTGTTGGTGTTTTCTGATACAGTAACCCGTTTTTGACTACCGTAACCTCGATATTCCTGTTGGAGTGTTCTTATTCCACTACCGACTCCTTCAAAACTTACTCCTAGATTTGGAGCGTTTGTTGCAGCTAGCAGTGTAGTTGCGGACTTTTCGACTACAGTAACTCTTAAAATTTTCATCTTCGGTTGCCTGTGGAAGTATAGCGTCATAAAAAGAAGACTCCCCCTCAATACAGCGATTGCGGACTTTAGGACTACCGTAATCCTTTGAAATTCTGATTTTAACTGATTTGACGGCCTAAAATCCTCTTTAGACCCAATAGACAGAAAATTAGCTCGAAAATTGCCCAATAACCTAATTGCGGACTTTAAGGCTACCGTAACCCTTCCTAATTCCAAGTTACACTGATTCGACGACCCAAAATCATCTGAAATAATCTCTGAAAGCTATCAAAATTATTCCGAAAATCACTCAAGGATCTAATTGCGGACTCTTTGACTACCGTAACTCTTCAAAATTCTGACTTCTACTGATTTGACGGCCATAAGTCCTCTTTAAACACCCAATGAACAGAAAATTAGTTCGAAAATTGCCCAACACTGTTGTTGCGGACTTTCTCACTACAGTAACTTTCAAAATTCTAACTTTAACCAATCTGATGGCCTAAAATCCTTTTTAAAAACCCAATTGACAAAAAATTAAATCAAAAATTGACCAATACTTTAACTGCGGACTCTCTGACTACCGTAATCCTTTAAAATCCTATTTTTATTCAACTTGAAGGCCGGAAGCCTCCTCAAAAAAAAAAAACCAACGAACCGAATTTATCTCAAGAAATTACTCAATACTCTGATTGCGGACTTTCTGATTACCGTAACCCTTTCAAATTGCCAGGGAAAGACGAAGGAGCCGCTCTGGTAGGTCGTCAACAATGGATAACCCTTCTGGTGGCGGCTTCGATATCTTGGTAATCTTTTTTTCGCTCTGAACCTTCTAGTGATCACTCTAGTGTCGCCGGGTACCTACAAAGCCACGCAGCGAGGAAATTCCCGAACTATCCGGCCTATCAGACTTTGATATCGGGTAAAAAAATTCGAAAAAAAATTGAGATGACTTTACATTTTCAGGCCAAACGGGGAACCGCTGCGCAGTGCACGCCTCGCGGATTTCGTCCTATTTGTCGCTGAATAATCGGTCCGAGTTGCCTTTGAAAAAGCGCATGTCGCCGTATGGATACTACACGTCTTGCAGTGGGTTTTGGAGGATACAGATTTTTTTATCATAGGGGGGCAAAAAGTTGATCACAATTGCGGCTATCTTTTTTTCTAGACTATCTTAAAAAAATTTTTGATTTTTTTGGAAAAAGTCGCGCCGACGGACACAACACGCAAAACACGAAAAAAAAAATTACCGACAAAAAAATCGTTCGCAGCGAGTGGGCGGAGCTTTGCGGTTCCAACTATGACTAGCTTTTGACGCAAAAAAGGCGTGGCCTGTCATCAATCAAGCACTGTCTCTTTTCTTATCGTGTCGGGACCTTTTATTTGATAACTCAAGCCAGCCGTGGATCAGCTATAGTCTGTGTGCCACGACTTGGAATTTCACCAAACGACATTCCGCTGTGCCGCTGCGCGCCTGTGCGAACCTTGGTCGCGCTTTTAATTTTTTTTTTGTCAAGGTACTCTACTTTCATGTGCTCCCTCAGCAATAACAATCAATTGAAAACGTGACCTAGATTCGAAAGACGCTTCGCGAATGCACGAAGCGGAATGTCGTTCCGTGAAATTTCAAGTCATGGAACACAGACTATATAACTTCGATTTTTACCGGCTACGAGAGCGCGACGGCACGTCTCCTGCTTCTGTGCGCGGTCCCCTTCCAACTGATCTTCGTTGGCGTCTCCTTCTGCGTCTCGACCCTCATCAGCCAACCCACCGAGTCCAGCTACAAGTTCTTTTTTGGCTACGCCTTGGCCGTCTTTTGCCATGTTCGTTCCGCTTCCCGAAAAAGACTCGAATTCTCGCTTTCAGATGTCGATCATGCTGTTCATGACGCAGGGGCTGGTCAACATGCTCTGGTGGTTGGGACTGGACCCGGACGTGCACGCGATTCCGCTCCTGACGGCTTTCGCCGACGTCCTCGGCGGGATCAGCCTCTACACACTCTTCTTCGTCGTCAACCACTTTTGGGAGGGGTCAGTGAAAGTTCTCCTGTTTTTACACTAGGAAAGATACCGAGTCGGCTCAGAATTTGTTCCCGAATGACGTCATCAGAAGTAAAATGACTTCATTCGGGAACGCTCTATGATTGGTTTCTCGCGCCATTAGGGGCGGAGCTTGAGCTACAAGTTGAGATTTAAAATTGGAACAGGCTATGAAAGCGATGTCGTACCTCAGAGTCTGCGATGTCGCTACCGTTTACTGACTACATCGCAAAAACGACCTCAAAACTTGGCTCTTCCGTTGCTACTGCCGATGACCCGCTGTTTTTTCCCGATTCGGGTGATACGCGGGACCTAATCGGGCGCTCGGCGCTTGATTTTCGCGATTTTCCGACTGCGAGAGAAATGCGATGTCGCGCGCGGACAGAGCGACACGTTTGCGATGTCGCTCAGAGCGTGATTTTGGCGTTTGCGTAGATACGCTGGACATGGGAGGACTGCGCAGCTGGGACTTGAGGGACTCTAAGATCAAACTACACTGAAGATATGGAATGCGCGGCTGAAAATTGCGTTTCGGGTGATCGTCTGGATCCGCGCGTGCTACCAATCAACATGACTGCTCGCATTTCTCATGGCGCGATATCGCTTTTCGGTGCGAGAGAAACGCGATGTCGTGCCTGGAAAAACGCGATGTCGCGCGGCGGCAGTGCGAGATTTTTGCGATGTCGCAAATCTCATTTTCGCGCTGAACTAGGCGGTTATCTTCAGTGTAGTCTGGTCCTAGAGCCCCTAAAGCTCAAGTAGTCCCTATAGTGGTGTTTTTAGCCTGTCCCCTAGAGCGGCCACTAACTAAAACTTGGGTTTTTCCTTCTCATTCAATTTTTTTTAAGGTCCGTCGTCTACAAGAAGCCGACGTGATGAGGCCCTTTTTGGTTCAATTAAAAAACGATCATCTTTCATCAAAATAGAGGGGGAAAAAATCGTCTTTTATCCCTGAAAATGCATGAAAAAAGCCTGAATAAATGTATTATACGTAACTCTTCAAGGGCCACATAAAAGAACAGAAAAAAATTTATAAGCAAACAAACAACAAGAAAAAGAAATAAAAAAAGGGTACACGGCAATCCTGGGCACAAAGAAAAAGACTAGCTTCATCGTCATCATCAAAAAAAGTCTGGGATCAATTTTTTTTTTTTTTGGGATTTCATATATTATTCTTATCGCAAATACCCGAAAGAACAGAAAAATAGTACAATTTCTAAAATTGAGAAAAAATTTTTTAGCTCCGTTTTGCTCGCGAGTTCTTGTAGTGCTTGTTGAACATTTCGGCGACCTGAAAAGTCCCGTTTTTTTCGAACTTAAGAACGCCAGAGTGGTCCCTATAGTGGACAAAAAAAAGCTCCCTAGAGGGCTAAATTTTAGGTAGTACCTATAAGAGTTCAGAGTCTGACCCAAGTCCAAGGGGTCCCTATAGTGATCTTTAAAATTTTTCGTTCTGATTTGAACGTTGAAAAGACGTATCCACTAGCATGCTCCCCTAGAATGACCACTAACTGAAAACCTTAGAGTGGTCATTTTTGCAAGGTTTAGTGCTCTCCATAGGGGTATTAAAGGTGGTCCCTTGAGGGGAGAGCCTATAGGAGCCTTTCTGGTGACCAGTAGGAGCTATTTTCGTGAGGCTATTTTCTCGGAGCTATTTTTAACGCGGCTATTTTTCTGCAGTATTTTCTTACTCTTCTTCTTTTCACAAGTTTATCAGGTCAAAAATCCTAATATTTGGCATTTTTGAACCTTTTTTTGAGTCAAATATGCACTACGACTTGAAATTTCACGGAACGACACTCCGCTGTGCCGTTGCGCGCCTTTGCGAACCTCGATCGCGTTTTTAACTTTTTTTTTTCTCTTCAGGTACTCTACTTTCATGTGCTCCCTCAGCAATAACAATAAATTGAAAACGTGACCTAGATTCGAAAGACGCTTCGCGGCCGCACGCAGCGGAACAGCGGAATGTCGTTCGGTGAAATTTCAAGTCGTGGCACACAGACTATATTTGACTCAAGAAAAGGTTCAAAAAATGCCAAATATTAGGAGTTTTGACCTGATAAACTTGTGAAAAGAAGAAACTGCAGAAAAATAGCCGCGTTAAAAATTGCTCCGAGAAAAAAGTCACGAAAAAATAGCCTCACGAAAATAGCGCCGACTGTTTCTGAGCCATTCTAGGGATCACTCGAGGTCTGACGCCGCTAAAAAGGTCACTAGAAATGCTCCTAAAGATCCGGTTACCGTTACAAAGGTTCGAGTGTGGCATTTTTGACCCATTCTCATTGCGGGGCTGTTTTTTCTCGCAATTTTCCAGACCTTGGCGCTTTTTTCCTTGTCACTCAGAGACGACGGCCGCGCAACGTACAGTTGAATGTCGGGCCGGCGTTTTTTCTTCTCTCCACCGGTTGTGCTTTCTGAAAAAAAGATATGTATTTGTTTCAAACCTGAACTTATCGATATTGATTTGAGACAGACATTTGACATCCAACTCATGACTACCAGCTACAGTAGTTACAGGTGCCGTACTACCAGCTACAGTAAAAAATAGTTACAGTATCACTAGCTACAGTACTACCAGCTACAGTAGTTACAGGTGCCGTACTACCAGCTACAGTAAAAAATAGTTACAGTATCACTAGCTACAGTACTACCAGCTACAGTAGTTACAGGTGCCGTACTACCAGCTACAGTAAAAAATAGTTACAGTATCACTAGCTACAGTACTACCAGCTACAGTAGTTACAGGTGCCGTACTACCAGCTACAGTAAAAAATAGTTGTAGTATCACTAGCTACAGCACGACCAGCTACAGTAGTTACAGGTGCAGTACTACCAGCTAAAGTAAAAAATAGTTACAGTATCACTAGCTACAGTACGACCAGCTACAGTAGTTACAGGTGCAGTACTCCCAGCTACAGTAACACTAGCTACAGTACTACCAGCTACAGTAAAAACAGTTACAGTAATACTAGTTACAGTACTACCAGCTACAGTACCACTAAAAATCACCTTTTCCATCAGAAGATTCCCGATTTTCTTCATTTATTACCGGCGGTGGCGTGGGTGGCAGGGGCGGCAAATCTTCCAAGTCCAAATTCACTCGGAATTTCGTCAAAGGTTCGGAGATTTCTGGAAAACAAGCTACAGATCCAATAGCTTTTCATTTCATTCAAGATTACGTTCAAAGTTTCTAAAAAATTAATTATGCCTGTTTCCAGCCAATCTCTCTACGTAAGGCCCCCTTTATCAATGGAGCAAATTTACTCCAGAAAAAAATGCCGATTTTTCTCCTTTGAGGCCCTTTATCAATGGAGCTAATTTTCCTATCGAAAAAAGGCCAATTCCTCTCCTTCAAGACCGTTTATCAATGGAGCGGATTTTCTCTAAAAAAAAATGCCGATTCTTCTCCTTCGAACCTCTTTATCAATGGGGCAGATTTTCCCACGAAAAAACGGCCAAACTTTTTTCTACCTTTCAAAGGAGCAGGTTATGCTATCGAAAAAGGGCAATTTTTCTGTTTAAAGCTCCGATATCAATAGAGCAGATCATCCATCGAAAAAAATGCCGATTTTTCTTTCTCCGCGAGCCCCTTTATCAATGGAGCAACTTTTCTTTAGAAAAAATGCCGATTTTTCCCCTTCGAGCCCCTTTGTCAATGAAGCAGATTTTCCTACGAAAAAATGGCCAAACCTTTCTTTTCAACTCGAACCACTGAAGGGGTTGTAATATCGATGGAGGCGGAAGTCGTTGGTTCAGCAATTTCTAAAAAATGTTCGAGTTTTCGAGGAAAAATGCATACTTTTTTTTTTACTTGCAACCTTTTTCAAGCAAAGCTTCTCGGCTATCTTTCAAGTTGATTTTGAAAGGGATCGGCAGAAGGGGCGATGTTTCCAGGAGAAGCTCCTTTTCAGACGAAGTCGTCGGTTCGGCGAGTTCTAGAGAAAAAATGGGAATATTTTCTCGTAGAAGAAGTTGGGTATTTGATCGGGCTTGTGCGTCAGGCTGGCCCGGGCTGTGGGGCTCCATTTTTTGCGAAGAGCTTGGGCCAGGCCAAAATTCGAAAAATTTTCCCCTTGACCCGGTAAATTTTGAGTGAAAATGAACTAAAAACGAGAAAAACTAAAAACTGAAGAAAATTTGCGCTTTTCGGGCCCGTTTTTTCTTGCCTAGGGCCTGGTCGGGCGCTCAAAACTGCCGGGCCAGCCCTCGTGAAAATTAACCAAAACGAGATTTCTGTCGAAAAATTCTGATAATCGTAGCTGAAGAAAATTTGAGCTTTTTGGATCGGGCGGGCCCGTTTTTTTCTTGCCTAGGGGCTGGTTGGGCCCACGAAACTGCCGGGCCAGCCCTCGTGAAAATTAACCAAAACGAGATTTCTGTCGAAAAATTCTGATAATCGTAGCTGTAGAAGATTTGAGCTTTTTGGGCCGGGCGGGCCCGTTTTTTTCTTGCCTAGGGGCTGGTTGGGCCCACGAAACTGCCGGGCCAGCCCTCGTGAAAATTAACCAAAACGAGATTTCTGTCGAAAAATTCTGATAATCGTAGCTGTAGAAGATTTGAGCTTTTTGGGCCGGGCGGGCCCGTTTTACCTTGCGCAAGGCCGGGCTGGATTAGAAAAATTCCGGGCCGGCCCTGAAAAACGGCGAAAATCGGGCCACAGCGTGAAGACGCTGTTTATAATGAGCAACTGCGTGAAATTTTTCCAAATTCGGCGAAAAAATGGTGGAAAGTGTGCTCCACGGACAACGTGTAGATTTTTTTGATGAATTTTCATTTTTTAAGGGTTAAAATAAGATTACCAACTTTCAAAACTTTAGTTGAAAGACATGACCCGTGGAGCGCACTTTCAAACCATTTTTTGCCGATTGGGGCCAATTTTTCAACTTTCCCAGTTGTTTCATCTCTACCAGGCTTGTGCGTCAGGCTGGGCCTTATGATGGAGAGTGTGCTCCACGGACAACGTGTAGATTATTTAGTTTTTCCTTTCTTTTTTAAATAATAAGATGGGTTTTCCTGTTTCCATAATTTTGGTTAAGAGGGATGATCCGTGGAGCGCCCTTTCAAACCATTTTTTGCCGATTGGGGCCAATTTTTCAACTTTCCCAGTTGTTTCATCTCTACCAGGCTTGTGCGTCAGGTTGTGTCTCATTTTTGACTTTTTGGCCGGGCCGGGCCGGACCGGGCTCAGAATATGGCCCGGAGGTCGATAGACGGGCCGGCCCTCTAGCCTGATCTAAATCCCAGAAGTTCATTACCAATAAGGACGTCTTTTTTCGAGGAAGATTCTTCCTGGCCCGGGTCTGACGTCACCGTAATCGAGAGGCTTTTGCGGTCGAGGTCCGCAAAGTGACTCTCCAGAATCGCGTCTGAAAATTGTCACTTTTTCCTGAAGCGGGAAGTACTCCGTTCAAAGTGATTCAAAATGATCTCTGACACTCCAAAATTCACTTCTTTTACACTCTCTATAATCTATTTTGAGTTTGGCGGAATAACTGAAAAAAATAATATTTGCAGTAAAGTTGCTCTATGGTCAAAACGAAAATTCACACTTTTCGTTTATTTTTCGATTTTTTTCAGGATTCTATTCTTACTTCTTCTGCTATAGAACCATACAGTTTTAAAGCATTTTTTTTCGAGGTCCCGCCGTCGCCCGATTTAATCCCGCTGCGGCATAATAATAATTATTATTATTGTTTAATAGTATGGTTTTTGGATAACTTCCTTATTCGAATTAGGCTAGAAATGCTGGTAAAACTGTAAAAAAACGTGAGAAATTAGCTTCAACTTTTTATACCCAAATCTAAACAAATTGTTACTTCAAAAAGCTTTCAAGATAAATTTTTTTAATCAATTTATCAAATAACGTCATAGCGGGATGAAATCGGGCGACGACTGGATTCGAAAAACTGTCACATACCAATAAAATCAAAGTTCTAAAATAACTAATTTCTCATTTTTTTAAGCAATCCTTCGCTGTGGCGCGTAATTAAAATCCCTTTTTTACTCAAAAATACCCACTTCCTATAAGCGCATTTTCGGATCTTCTACCACAAGTTCTGCACGGCGTTAAAAGAAAATTCGAATCCAAAAATTGAGGACGTCATAGGAAATAATCGTAAACAACAGGGAATATTAAAGGCGCATGCTCATTGGGTCATGAGAGGAATCGGATTTTCATTGAAAGAAAACGCAATTTTTCCACTTTTTTTGAGCACATGCCGTGTTTAAAGTGATTCCATAGTCGGCAGAAAGTGCAAAAAATAGTACAGAGTTTCGGTAATTTCTAATTTGGCGGGAATTATTTTGAGCACGGCATGCGCGAGAGCGCCGCAGTGCATGCACATGAAACACTAAACTTTACGGAAAAAAGGGCGGGGCGTCGTTAAAAAACTCTGTGTCTAGAACTGACAATCCGGAATTCTTCTTACCATTCTAGGAAAAAATGGACGAACCAATATCTTTCTCAGCCGACGATCGGCTCTTTTCGCGGCCCTTTTCCAAATCCCGCCTTCGCTCCTTCCGATTCGGCTTTTTCTTCTCGTCTTTTCGCTTCGACGACCTTCGATCCTCTTCAGAATCAGACACTGACGACGACGGAGAAGACGTACGTCTTCTTTTCCTTCGCGGGCTTCGCGATCGTTTTCGGTCACGTCTACTGCTGCTAAAATCTACTTTTTGCAGAACAGTTATTACATTTAAAAAAACGTGATGTTTCTTTCTAAAAATAGCGTAAATCAAGAAAAAAAAAAATACAGGATCCTTATAAAAAATTCAACGCTTTCATGTAGATCTATGGCTATAGGCTTTTTTTTGCTTGTAACATTTTTATGGGCAAAAAATCCCTTTTTCCGTTTACAGGTCTCGAAGCGAAAAGGGCAATGATGAGCTAGGGTTACGGTAGTTCAATCTATTCTTATATTTTGACGCGTTAATACAGTAGTCAACCGAATGGGTCATTTATTTCGAGCCAAAAATCGCATATTTTCGGTTTACAGGTCTCGAAGCGAAAAGCGCAAAGAAATTCTAAGTTTACGGTAGTTCTTTTTACGCGTTAATACTGTAGTCAATGGGTCATTCATTTTGAGCCAAAAACCACACATTCCCAGTTTTCGGGTCTCGAAGCGAAAAGCGCAAAGAAGACTTAGGGTTACGGTAGTTGATCTAATCCTATTTTTTTTTGTTTACGCGTAAATACTGTAAATAATTTTTAATCTTCCAAAATTATTTTTGCCAAATCTACCGTCTCAAAAGGTTCAAAAAAGCACTTGAATTTACCAAAAAGTCATCGGAAACTTGATTATTTTCTCTTCCAAACCTATTCCTTTTCGAAGACCGTCTGTCACGGTCCCGACGTCGTCTGGACGACGATTCTCGATGTCTTCTACGATCCCTGGAATCTTCTGAAGATTCCGACGTCGCCGAGGCGCTTCGTCTTCGTTTCCTTCTGGAAATGGTGGTTTTTTTCGTACAAATGCTTTAGAATATCTTAATTTTGAATATTTACCTATTTTCCATGCCCGTAAGATTCATGAAGAAAAATGGAAAAAAAGGCAAAAAGAGCAGAAATTTTTTTAAAAAAATTCTCTAAAAACTAATGTCGTAAAAATTAACAAAAAAATACAAATATATCTTTTTTTATTTCTAAATTAGCCATGGAGCGCGTTTTTTTCCAGAATCTGTAAGATGGAATTTTTTTCTCTCTTAAAAAAATTCACTATTTTTTTCAGGCTTGTGCAAGGACTGGCCCGTCTTCAGCCCATTTTGAGCCCGACTCGGCCCGGCCGGGCCCAAAGAGGGCAACCTCTCTTCATGTCAAATATAAGATTTTTTCCGGCGAAAATCCTTTTTTTTTTTTCAGTTCTTATTCCTTCAAAATCAGCAAAAATCATGATTCATCGATTAAAAAGAGCTTTTTGGTGAAAATCAGAGCTTAAATAAATAATTCATAGCCCGCCTTAGGCCCGAGTGTGCGCAGGCTTCTTCTGAAAAAATGATGACTATAGTCCGGGATGGCCCAAGTCGCCTTTAATGACAGAATTTCTAACTTTTTCTTTTACTTCGCTGTGATTTTCTACATGACAAAATAGGTGAATAAATTGCAAAAATACAAGAAAACGCCTCAAAAAAAAAATGGTTTACATAAATTCCACCTCATTTCAGGCTAGTGCAAGGGCTGGCCCGTCTTTAGACCATTTTAAGCCCGACTCTGCCCAGCCGGGCCCAAAGAGGGCAACTTTTCTTCAAGTTAAATATTAGACTTTTTAGGGAAAATTACGTTTTCAGTTATGCTTTTCATTCAAAATACCGCGAGCCAAGCACTATCTCGTGCATTATCGTGTCAGGACCTTTTTTCGAAGGTCCTAGCCAGCCGTGAATCAGCTATATCAAACCTTTCATCGGGAATCGCGTCGGCGCGGCTGAGTTTGAAGGGCGGCGAGTTGGTGGCGGCGAGCGGAAACCGGCCGTGGTCGGTTCGGCGACGGCGCAGCTCCTCGGACGTCTTCCTCACGTTGAACTGCTGACTGGAAAAACGTGAGAACCCACGTGGGCAAGCAGAGATGCTGACGGGTCGCCCCGGGGAGAAACGACCCGCAAAGTTAGAAAATAATAGAAAAGACGTAGAAAAGGGGTGAAGAGGAGCTTATGAAAGTGTTAAGAAAATTTTTTTCTTTTTAAAATTCAACTTTTGCGGGTCGCCCCGTAGCCCTGTGGCCGAAATAAAACTAATTTTCATCAGAAATAAAATCAAGTTTCTAGCCTTCTAGCCCCGTTCAAACTTAAATTTAAAAACTAGAAGGTCGACCTTAGAAAAAGGATCCGCCCTAATATTGATATATCTACCTGGAATTCCTTGAAAAACTAAAAGCCAGAAGTTTTCTTTCTTTTTAATTTAATAAAAAGTTCAACAAAAAAATTAACTCATTTAATTATAACTTTTTAGGGTGTAAAACTTTCTCTTTTTTTCAACTCTCTGAAGTAAGAACCTTTCTTTAAAAAAATAAGTTCCTGTTAAAATCAACTATAATTTTGAAAAAGCTCAAAAACTATTCTGTAATGAAAGTTTTTTTGATATTTCAAATTTCTCAACTTTTCTGTTAAATTTCAAAAAAATACCGAGGAAAAAAATATATAAAGCTATAATCTTTCACTAAAGGGCTCATTTAAAAAAATCGGATATAAAAAAATTTACTGGAAAGAAGTCATAAGAAAATCTTGAAATAACTTTGAAAGTTTCAATTTGAAAAATGTCTAAAGGTCATTCCGCGCCAGCTTGTCACGATTTTAATTTTCCTCGGAACTATAGAACCCCTTTCTGGGCTTCGCTTTTTTTTTTGATGCTCTCGGTGTTCCCCCCTGCATGCGCCTTTAATAAAACATTATTTCTGATCAAGATATTGCTTCAATTTCCGCTATCTCTTTTATTAACGAGGTTTTTTCAATGGATTAATTTTATTTTTCGCTTCAACTATACACACTCAGATTCTGTGCTGGATTTGTAAAAAAAAAAAAAGAAAAAAAAGATTAATTCAATAATTTTGATTGTTATTGATGAAACCGACTGTTCGAGCTTTTCTTGCATATTATTTTTGGGTTAGTTTGATATAAAATTTGATGTTACAACTGTTTTTGTAGAATAAGAAAATTCCAAAATTCGGAAATAATGAGTTTTATTAAAGGCGCACGCAAGGGGGCACACCGAGAGCATCGAAGCGAAGCGCCGAAAAGGCTACTGTAGCTCAAAATAAACTGGAAATCGTAAAAAGCTGGCGCGGAATGACCTATAACTTTCTATTCATTTTGAGGAGCCGCGCATGATTTTTTTTTTTTTCAAAATTTTTCGCTCACCTAAGTCTCGGCCGTGGAGCTGATGCCGCAGAAACGGGCACGACTCCGAAATTCTTCTCGAAAAATTGAATACAATAGTCGGGGTTCGACCTCATCTCGTTTTCCACCGATTCCCTTTCGGCTCTGAAAACCTTTTGATCTTCTACGAAAATCATGATTTTTCAGAAAATTTCGAAGATTTTGTTTCAATGGAACATCAACACAGGAAAACAAAGGTCCCTTATATTTTTACAGCTCCCAACTTTTATTATTTTTTCTGCAAGGCCCGAAAAATGGCTTCAATCTTCTAGAAGCCAAGGTTCCAAAAAAGCTCAAGGAAAACCGCAAAATAGGGGCAAAACACCTACTTGAAACATATTCTAGCGTCTTTTAAGGAAATCTTAAGGTCATTTTTAGTGGATCCAAAGAACATCTATCGTTTTAAAGATTTTTTCGATACTCAATTTTCTTTCTCTGGCTGAAAAGCATTGCAAAAATAGCCGCGATGTCGCTGGCGGTACATTGATCGAAAATGCACTGGTTTGTGGTCGCTTCTGTTTCCTCGGCGCGATATCGCATTTTTTTTTTTAGCGCGATGTCGCGTTTTTCTTGACGGGATATCGCATTCTTCTCGGCGCGACATCGCGTTTTTCTTGGCGCGATTTCACATTTTAAAATTTCTTCCACTTTTTTTAAGTGCGTAAGAAAAAACGAAAGACACGCGAGGTCGCGCCAAGGTAAATGCAAGTTTCGATATCGCGCTCTGTCCTCGCGCGAATCTCGCAATTTTCTGGGCGCGACATCGCATTTCACTCGCTTTCTTATGCACTAAGAAAATTTTAGCGATGTCGCCGATGTACGGCTCGCGTTATCGCGCTCTGTCCGCGCGCGAATCTCGCAAATTTCTAGGCGCGACATCGCATCTCTCTCGCTTTTCTTATGCACTCAGGAAATTTTGCGATGTCGCCGATGCACTTGCGATATCGCGCTCTGTTTTCGCGCGAATCTCGCATTTCTCTAGGCGCGACATCGCATTTCTCTCGCTTTTCTTATGCACTCAGAAAATTTTGCGATGTACTGCTCGCGATATCGCTTTTCTATCACGCCGGACTAGGCATATTTTGTTTTTTTGTCAGTTCCATTTCTCCCACCTGAAACCATCCTCAGACCAGAGTTCGTCCCTCACTTCGTCCATGATAGTCCCAAGTAAGTTGGTCCCTCTCCACAGGGCGGGGTTTTCAGCCTGGGCGTTGTCGACCGCCAATCCTGGGATGTGAAATTATTGAAACAAATAAAGTAAAATCCAACGAACCGATGCCCCAAATCCTATCCATCGGGCTGCACTCGACGAGGCGGCTGTCGTGCGCGGCGAAGATACACTCCCGTAGGCGTTGATTCTGCCCGAATTTGGCCCGGAGCCCGTTTTTCATCACGTCTTTTTTGTAGTTGTCCCAACTGGAGAGTTGTTCGTAATCTTAGGAATCCTAGAGTGGTCCCTATAGGGGTTGGGGGGAAAACAGTACAGATAGGGGCTGAAAAAATGGTCCCTATGGGGGTAATATCGAGGTGGTCCCTATAGGGATTTAGGGTCTGATCTTTTAGTCTTTAAAGCTCGAGTGGACCCTATAGGGGTGTCTCAATTTTATTTAAAACAAAACGCTTTTGTATTCAGTTTCTCTCATGGAAATGCCTGTTCACTTAGATTTCATAATGATTACTAACTAAAAAACCCTATAGGGACCCCTTTTTCAAGCTTTAGTGGCCACAAGAGTTTTGAGCTCTATTCAGGTTTTGGCGTTTCAAAAAAACTCAAAAAAATTTTTTTTTATTCCGATTTCTGGGAAATTTTCGCCCTTTTTTTAATTATTTTCACAATTAAACAGTACCGTCAGAAAAAAAAACGAAAAAAAAAATTTTTTTTTTAACTTTTAATAGAACCTGATCTTCTTGAAACTCTAAAAAGCTGCGTTTTTTTTTTCCTGCGTGCTAAAATTCCATCAGAGTTTCACAAATAACAGTCATCCCAGCTTCAGAAGATTTCAGGAAGATCAAACTACATACAAACAAGTTTTAATCAAAAAAGCGTTTTCTTCGTGATTTTTCTGACGAAATTGTAACTTCTCACACGTGTAAGTGTACACTTGGGGATGAAGGCTTGTAAAATATTATAAATTGGGGAAAGATTTCTTGATCTTGGAAGCCATAATAAGCCCGGAACACAGTGGGGAAGGCCAAAAAAACCTCAAAAAAAATTTGAACGTCTTTTTTTGGTTCAAAAAGTTCGATTATTCGCTTTCTAAACGTTTTTTTTAAAAACTCATAATCCGTTCAAAAAAGTTTTCTAGGTTACTAAAAAAAAAGAAAATTGATGTAAGATCTAAAAAATAATGAAAAAGCAATTATTCGGTTCGATATTTCTTGAAACTTACTAACTTTTCTCCAGCCCATACAAAAAATGAACAGAAAAAAACTTTAACAGTGATTCTACAAGAAGAAAAAACCAACACTGGATCTGAAAAGCCGACGATTTCCTTGCCGATCCGTTTCATTTCCTTCGGATCCCTGGTTTTCAGGATTTTCTGCGCCGATTCCGTGTCGCCAAAGGTTAGAGCTTTGTGGTACCTGAATGAAGTTTATCAGGCTGCCAGGAAATCGAAAAACGTGACAAGCTGGCGCGGCATGAACCATCTTCGTAAAAACCCACGGAATTTTTTTTTGCTTAGGCTCCAGTGGCCACTTAAGAGGTTCCTTAAGGGCTGCTTGGAAAGGAAGGACCCTTAACAAGCCCTTTAAGGGTATGTTATAGATGCAAAAAGGTTTCCCATCAATTGATCCCAAACGGGTAGCAACAGTTTCCCTTTCATTTTACGCCCTTTATCCACCCTTTTGGGCCCTTTGAGAAACACAAAATTTTAAAATTGATAAGGGACTGTGTATGAACTAAAATGTGCTACAGTAATAAAATCGGAATGGCCTTTCAGCACCCTTTTTGGACCCTTTTTTGAGGCTTTTCAGCCCACCAAGAAAGAAAGGCTCAATAAAGGATGCAAAATGGAACCCTTTTATCAGCCATTTTGCACCCCTTTTCCGCAATTCCAACTTCAGAAGTGTGATCTTTTCAAAACGAACATGTAGAACTGCTCGACGCAGGAGAACTTCTGGAGGGTGTCGTCGTCTCCAACGACGACGAAGTTGCACGGATGGAAGTTGGAGAAGGGCGAGGCCTTGGAGAAGAACAACGTCAGGTCGCCGGCTTCCGTCCGCACCCGACGCGTCCCCATCTTGATTTCAAATTTCAATATTATCTTGATGCCGTCTTCAAAGTAATTTCAAAATTGACGCATTTTAGCGAAATCGCAATCGCTGCAAAACGGGTCCTACAACGATAAATCGCGACAAATGATTTTTTTACGGTGACTTTTAGGCGCGAATTTCAAAATTTTGTTAAATTGATGGCTTTTATTTCGCGGAATCGTTCTGAACCCGGCATGTAATTCAATTTTTTTTCAATAATTTAAAAATGCCCTTTTTATGCTTCAGAAATTGCTTATTTCTCAAAAAAAGCTCTCAAAATCCTACACAACAAAAAATAAAAATTCTAAAAAATATCAAAAAAGCAAGTATCATCGACAGAATCAACGGCATCAGCTTTCTACAAAACCGCCATGCGTGCAAAAACCTTTCAAAAATAATATTTATTTCGTTTCGAAAAGTTGGATGAAAATAGTCCGAAAAAGGAAAGAGATGAACTACAGAGAGAAAGAGAGGACCGCCAAATAACCAAACCAGGTCCCAACACAACGCGAAAAAAAAACAGGACAAAAAAATCTTTTTTGGAGGGAAAAGGACGAAAAATGGGAATCAGATGTTGTCAATGTCGACGTCATCGGCATCGTCCTCGTCGTCCTCCGAAGACTTGGAGCCGGCCTTCGGGCCCTCGGGAGCCACTTTTCCGCCCTTGGCCTCGGCTTTCCGCGCCGCTTCTTCCTTCTGCTTCTTCAGGTACTCGCTCTCCTTGCCGCGGTCGTCGAACTGAAAAAAAGGAAGTTAATGACCATGAATTTCCGAAGATCTACTCACATCAATGTCAGAATCCTCCTCCGATTCTTCCTCGGCCTCACGGAGCCAGTTGATGAACGCCTCGGCGTTCTTGATAATCTTCCTGGCCATCGACTTTTCGACGTACTTTGAGGACGGCTGGAAAAAAACATACTTTTTGGAAAAAATTTATTAAATTCAAGATTTTTTTGGGTTTTTAGGAGGCGTTTAGCCGATTCACGTCTATCCTGACGCGCTGAGAGTCGTTTTTTGTCTGCGCTCTCTATTAGCCATGTGCTATCTCCTTTTTTAATCGTGTCAGGACCCATTTTTCAATGGCTCAAGCCAGCCGTTACTCAGCTGAATAGCTCTTTTACCGTAACTCGAATAATCTTCCTAATTCTCGATAAAGGGGTCAAAATTAGCTTTTTTTTTGAAATTGGGGACTTCAAAGCCGAAAAATTTGATGAAATTTGGGGGCTTAATACAGTCGATTCACGGCTAGCTTGAAACGCTAATAGGCTCGGTTTTTCTGCGCTCTCCACCAACCAAACACTATCTCCTATTTAAATCGTGTCAGGACCCACTTTCCTGCCGTGAATCAGCTACACCTACAGATCAAACTCTATTCATTCCAGAAGAAAACCATCTTTTTCAACAGGACCACAATCTCTTCTCCATCTACACACCTTATCAGCCCAGGCCAGGATGGCCTCCTCCTCGCAGATGTCCGTATCGTAGAGCGCCTTGACGATGTGCGCCGACTTGGGCAGGAGGCTGTCCTCGTGCTTGGCGATGAGCTGCTCGATGGCGCCGATCAGGTAGCGCTGAGCCTTCTTGTCGTTGAGGGTGAACCTCAGGAAGAGTTTGCGGTTCTTGGCGAGCTGCTGCTCGGCGAGGATCTTCTCGTCGAGCAGGACGATGGCCAGCAGGAGCGAGGCCTTCTGCTTCAGCTCCAGCCGTTCGGCCTCGTTGAGCAGCGTCTTGTGGTCCTCGAGGCGGTCTTCCTCCTTGGCCTTGAGCAAGAACTGATGGAGCATGTCGAGACGCTGATCTTCGCTCTTCTCGAGGTCCTTGTCCAGCACCAGCTTTCCGATTCCCGACGTCAGGGCTCCATTTTCTTCGACCGGCTCCGGCTCCCAGTCATCGTCATCATCGTTCGAGCTGCCCTGAAATTCAATTTTGAACTTCTTCTTTTAGAGAATCTCAATAATCTCTGGACATTTCAACTAGTTACAGCTCCATTTGAAATCTGTCCAATGACGTCATTTTTAAACGAAAAAGCTCTACAGTCTGTTCAGATTCTTAATTTCAAGTACAATGACGTCATTTTTAAACGCCCTGTGGACGGCTCGCTTTCTGATTGGTTTAGCGCGCCATAAGGGGCGGAGCTTGAGCTAGGACTCCACTCAAAATCTGAACAGACTCTAAATTTGAACTGGTTCCATTTCTTTGAGAAATGTCTTCAAAATCAAAAGCTCTGCGCCGTTTTCTGAACTAAATTTCGATTTCCAGCAGTAATCCCGCCTACAAGCCACATTCCCAGAGACCAATTAGGACTGAAAAAAAATCGGTCAAAACTAAACCCCGTTGCCATTGGCAGCCTCGATGATGGGATCCGCCTCGGCAGCCGCCGTCGAAGCCTTCTTCGCGTTCTGATCGACTTTGGCTGAAGATAGGACGGAATGAATTCGCAATGGGGCGCATATACACGTACAAAAGTCAACGTCAATCTTGGGTGGATTTTTGATGATGAACGTCGAGAGCTTATGGCGGTTGTCGATGAGGAACGCGTGGCCGCACGCCTTGCACTTGCTGTTGATCGCATTTTTCCGGACAAGCTGCAAAAATTTAACGTTTTTTTAATTTCATTTTTTTGAAAATGAACAGAAAAACGAAGGAAAAGTCGTGAAGGGTGGAAAAGGCTCCATATAAAACTTCATTTTTGGGTGGCAAAGGCTCCTTTTTTGCTGCCTATTTACGCCTTTTTATCGACTCTTATACTATTTTTTCACCATTTTTTGTGTCTTTGAAATTCTAAAATGCAAGGCTCGAGATAGGGACTCATTTTGCATCCTTTCTGCCGCCTTTTTGCGGCCTTTTTTAAACCTCTCCCTTTCAGCTTTTAGATTACATTCCGACACTGTTCGAGCAAGAAAAAAAAAATGAAAGACGATTAAAAATAATAAATTTTCATCACTAAGTGTTCCAAAATGTCATTTTCACGAAAATTTCACTAAAACCTCAAAAAAAAAAATCTCAAGTTTTTCGATTTTAGAACAATTAAAATAGGAAAAAGCTCTAGAAAAAATCCAGTTTCTCACCAACTTGTTATTTAATTAATGTTAATCATCCCACTTTCATGAACCTTACATTAGATGTTTGATTCGAAAAAACAGCAATTTAAGGAAAGAAGGAAGGAGATTGAAAGGTCTATACAAAAATGGATTTTTTTAAATATCTATTGATGTTAATGAGATAAAGCCTTTTGATAAGAATGTAATTTTGAACGGTTCAACCTAAAAAAAAACTAACCAATTGAGTCTCGGGATTCTCGCAGGCCGGGCACAGGACAAACTTCTTGATGAATCCGTCGAGGATGTCCTGAAGCTTGTTGGCGTCGTGCTCGCCGTTGACAATGTAGCGCTCATTTTTCGCGTCGAAGTTCGTCTGGGCTCCGAGTTCGCAACCAAAGTACTTGGTCGGGTCTTAAAAAAACGAATCATAACTCTCGGAATGGAGCAAAAAAAGTTCGTTCAAACACCAGGAAGTGATTCACTCAAAAAAAAAAACGGAGCACGTCATCAAAATGAAAAATCTAAGATTTAAAAAGTAAACGTAGATTACTCATCGGACATACGGCTATAAACATTAAACTTAATGTTCACAATAATTCAAAGTTGCCGTCAGAGAATGGAAAAGATGATTAAATTTTAGAGAGTCAGAGTTGATTTAAAATTTCGCGTGAAACACTTGACACGTGGCATAAAGATGCACATCCAAAAATTCAAACTTTCTAAATGTTTTTAAGTTGGACGTTACTTTTTGCGTTACAAGCTTTTTATTTCTTTTTTCGAAGTCATACTTTTACGAGTTTCTCCATAGAGCATCTATTCACAAAATAATGCGCAATATCGAAATTTTTAAGCTTAACTTTGAGGTCTTTTTCTTTTTTTAAAAAAATTAAAGGAAGGCACCAGCCCTGAATTTCGACAACACCAGTTTGAAAAAAAAAAATAACGAAAGAAAAATGAGCTAAAAATTGAATCTTCTCAAAGACTACGGTAATGGAACGCGCCTCTAACATTGGTAAAGCGAAAAGGACGTCTCTGAGCGATTCTAGGGATCACTTAAGATTTCTTTCACTATTAAAGTGGTCACTAGAAACGCGCCGAGGATGCGATATCCATGTTCCGCACCATGTTCCGCATCATCTTGTGAATAGATGCTCTACGGAGAAACCTCCCTAAAGATGTAATTTTGAAAAAAACGTTCCGCGCGGTCACGTTTTGAACGAACAGAAGGAAAAAGTAACTGTAAACAAAAATTCAGCAAAAAACAGGTCTTGAAGCGGAAATGCTCATTTTTGATAGTATACGGTATTTTCGGCTGAAAAAACGTGAAACCTGGCGCGGAATGGGCTACATGTAAGTTACCAAACGGACAACAAGACAAAAAAAAACGACACAAAAAAGGAAAATCTGGTCAATCTACGCACACATTGGGGGCCGTTCGAGGGCCTTGGCGATTTCCGACATGTTGGCGATGACGGTTTTGATGCCGTTGCCCTTTCCTTCGACTTTCGCCAGAAGTTTCGGCATCTTGTAGCGGTAGAACGGGTCAGGGACACTGCGGTTCACGTTGAGAGCCATTTTTTGTTGTTTTTGTTGGTGTTCGCGTTGATGTTTTTGTTATTATTTCGGTTTGGAAGTTGTGCTGAAAATGGGAAATATTATACTTGGGTCTCAAAGGGGTCCAGGAGAACCTACAGATTTTGGTTACGAAAAATAACCGTCGAATCGCATACACTACCAGCGTAGGCGATCGTTTCAACGAATGCGTCGGTGGGAAACGACGCTATTGTTTCGCAAAACTTCAGTTTCTTTCTTTTTCTTGACAACCGCCCTGCAAATTTCTTCAGTTTGTAGATGTTAATTGGTGATTAAGCTTATTTATCCGTAATATTATGTGACTCATTATGACTCATCCAATGGAAAAGGAGCATTACCGTGGGAAAATTGTCGTCTGACGAATTTCCTTTTGATTTTGAAATATTTTTCACTAGTTTTTCGAAAAAAAAATCGTAAGACCATGAAGTTTCCAATGAAAAGGGACGATTAAAAACCGTATATTTAGTTGCAAAATGTCTCTAAATGAGAAAAAAAGTTTTTTATCCTATTTTGGAGCAATCTGGAGCATTCGGCAAGGTACCAAATTCACAGTAATTCATTTTATGTCGAAAAGATGCTTCAAAAAGTCAATTTTTCCCGATTTTAAAGAGTTTGGAGACAAATTACCCGTTCTGAACACTTAAAAACCCTTTAAATCTTACCTAAAACCGTTGCGATTGAAGGATTTTCTCATAAAACAAGGAAACAGCGGCGCAAAAGTTTGGCGAATGAGAACAAATGAGGATCTACGCATCACGTATTTATTTTTCTTTTTTTTTTTTTGAGTTTAATACTTCTTTTTCCCGTTTCTCACCTTCCTGAGGGTTGTCGATCATAAAATCACAAATGGGCGCGTAGTTGTTTGGGCTCAAGAACATGCACAACTGGTTCTCCCAGTCAGCCGATTCTTTCTGGAAAAGGAATTTTGGAAAAACTATATAATTCAAAAATAAGAAAAACACGGAAAAACGGCCGAAGGAGAACCCAAAAACGGGGAAATAAACAAAGACTGATCCTTAAAAGGCGCATCGGGCAAACAATTGAAGGCGCGAAAACGAATATAGCGCGTCATTTTTTAAACCAAGATAAGTTCAGAGAATATGAAAAGTTGGAGAATTTTGTTATTACGAAGCAACGCAATTGTGTTTCAAAACGTTCCAAAAAATGAAATTTCAACCGAAAAGTTATGAACTTTCCCAAGGACCTTTCAGGACTCGAAAAGTTCCGCGCTTTGAAAAAAAGGCGGGAAAAAAACTACCGTATACTATAAAATACAACTTTTCGCTTAGTAACCTGTATTTGTTGTTTTTTTGAGATCATCTTTTTATGGAAAAGAAATATATAGCCTTGTAATCACTTCAACATGTTGATAAAGGTTATTAATGAGAAAAAAAGGTTAATTTTTTTAGTTGTTTCGAATCTATTTCGGAAAAACTGAAAATTTAAAAATTTTGTTCAAAAACTTTCTTTTTAATTTCAATTGAAAAACACAGTTAAACTTCAAAAAAACTTTGAATTGAAAAAAATACAAAAAATTCTCAAAAAAAAGCTCAGCTTTCAATAAATCAACGTGAAAAATAATTAACGACACGTCAAAATATACGATTCCAACATTTCAACACAAAACTTCGGCCAAGACGAGATGGGCTCATTTTTCTCGTCTATGGAAGACGTTCCGAGCCGGCCGGTGGCTCGCGTCGACGCCGAAGACGTCTGCGACCTTGACGTGGGTAAAAAGTCGAGTTTTCCACAACATTGAGGTCTGTTTTCGCTTCAGAAGCCAACTACCCAACAGCCACCGACACCGACGGCTCCGACACCAGCGACACCTCATGTGAGAACTATTCAAGAGAAACACGTAATGGCATAGAGAAAATTAGTGTTATGAAATTATTGTTTTAGATCCTGTTCTACAGATAACAACAGAACATTGACGATAGGAAGACGACCCATTACCTTTTTTTTCTGCGTTCGAAACTTTGAAATTCTAATAAAAATTGGGTTGCGAAAAATCAGAAAAAGACTTATTTTGGAGACAGGGCATAGACTTTGAAGCCAGAAAAGCTCATTTCCTAGATGACCTTCAAAATGAAAAACCCTTCTGGAACCCTTTTTCCTATGTCAGAAGTGTTCCCTTTGAAGTTTCGAACAGCACAGCGACGCTAATTAAAAACGGAACTTGAAGAAAAATCAAATTACAGCCGACTCAAACAGCAGCGATGAGGACTCGTCGGACTCCTACAATTCTTCAGACAGCCTCCCTTTGACCGAACTTGAGAATGAGATCTACCGTGGAGCCTTTTTGGGTAAATCACCATTTATACCCGATTTCAAAGCCACAGAAATTAAGATAAGAAGGAGGATCCGTACACAGTGACGCGTCGCGGTCAACTCGGCGCCCGAGATTTCGACTACGAAATTACGTGTCGCCGATGAAAAGCAAAAAAGAAGAGCTCCACCTCTTACTAGTTATTCAAACGGGGCCGAATTTTGTCAATAAACCGTTTTTTTTTTTTTGAATCGTGAACAAAAGGAGAGAAGACAGAAAGAAATCGGTTTCGCGTCCCAATTTTTTTTTCTTTTTCCGTTCCAGCGCGCCACGCAGAAGTAAAGTGATCAAACTTACAGATTAAAAACACGCTCAACGAGTACGTGGCGCATTGATGGGCGTCTCTGTGTGATTAAGTATCGTACGCTGTGTTCGATATATTGCGAAATTTTGCAGAAAATTGGAGGTGCGCGACGTTAGAAAGTATTGAACATCAGAAAACGTTGACCAAGTTCAAAATGTTTTTGAAATTTCACGCTTTTAGAAGAAAACCATTTTCCAAAGCTTTTTTCCTATTGAAAAACTGATTCATCGTCGTTTTGTAGGGCACGCCCGGTTTTTATGGTTCCCAAACATACAGAAAAGCCACATCATCGATAAAAACTGCAAAAACTGAACGTTTTTGTGGTTTCAAAAAAGAGAGAAATTCTAAATTTTCGGTTTGAAATTGGAGTGCTATCGTACAAACGCCTGACAAGGGAGGTAATTTCCCTTTGCGGTTGGAATTTTCGTGAAAATTGGCCAGATCTCTTCTTGTACCTAAAAAAAGATTCTGAGAGTCTCAACCTGCACAACTTCCTCGTTTTTGGGAAAAGACGCCTTGAAGTCAAAGAAAACCCTCAAAATCCATAAAAATAGACTATTTTTGGGCTTTAAGCCTTTTTTTTCGAAATTAGGATGTTGTGCAAGTTGAGACTTCCTGGATCTTCATCTGGTACATCCAGAAGTGTTCTGGCCAAACTTCTGGAAACTCCCAGCCGCTAAGTAAAATGACCTCCCCATGTAAGGGATCAAAAAGCCTAGAGGACTGTTGAACAAAGCTCAAAAATTAAGAACTGGCGAAACAAAGCCGACAAATAGCCCTGTTACAACCTTCAGAACCAGTCCAAGAAGGGAGAAAGCAAAATGGTCGCTCTAGAAACGAGAAAAACCACCACCGCCAAACAAGCAGCTCAAAACGGAACGGATCGAGCTGTATTTGAAGAGGACGAGGACAAAAGTGTCAAAAAATGAAGTGCTCGTGGCGACGGTGTGGGAAAAAAAGGCGCCTCGCCAATAATCAGAAGGAGATGGAACGCTCTAGGGGAGAGAGAAACGAAGAAAAAGAGACGGCGATGGGGGGCAGCCGCAGGCACACATCGACTCAACTCGATTGAATCCGCCACAGCGGCCAAGCAGATAGGAAAAGTGGCGCCGGGGCGGGAAAGAGAGAGCTGCGCAGGGGCGACGCAACGCAACACGCAACGCTCTCTGGCCCATGTTTTGCCACGCTCTTTCTCTCTCTCTCCCCGTCCGCGCGGACCGTTCTTCCTTCGTTTCTGTCGCGACTGGCGGCCACGAAGACCTGTTGGAAGGGGCGGAAACGCATGTGATCCCATCGCCGTTCCTTTTTCTCCTTTGAAAAGAGCCCAAAAAACAAGTTTGAAACCGATTCGAACTGGTCTTTTTGAAGGAATGAGTACGAAGAAATGTGAAACTTCACATGGGAAAAAAGTTAAAGAATCTCGCAATTTTTAAGGAAGAAGCTGGTTCAAAAAGAGAAGCTTCAGCCTTCATTTTTGTAAAATAAAACTTTTCAATCAAAAAAAAAATGGTTGAATGATTCTATAAGCTTCATGATGTTTTTCGAAAAAACTTGCGAAAAAATTTTTCAAAATGAAAAAATACTAATACTTATTTTCCGAAATCTACTTGGAAAAATTTACCTATCCCACAAAAAAGTTCATATTTCATGATTCAGATGAAGGAAACAATCTTTCAGAGCAATTATTGCAAAATTCTAAAAAAAAATCGCTTGAAAGCTTCTTAAAGACCTGGAAAAGCGAACTATTGATAAAGAAAGACGATTCCTCTCAATTTATCTCTGAAAGTGTCTCACAGATTAAGAAAGGGGTGTCCCTATCAGTTCTCCAAATGTTCATAATTAGTACCGTCACCCCTTTTTCAGCACTTTTATGATCGAAAGCTCATATCTTTGGACACGTCAAAGGGTTTGCTGAAAGGTGGAAAGATAAGGAACACCTTGTCACATGCTGACTGGAATTAAAGATCACACTTTGAGTAACTAATAAGTTTCGCCATTTACTAGCCAAAGAGCAAAGGCGCAGGTGTTTTCGCTTCTTTTTTTTTCTCAACTAATTGATCAGAAACCATGGAAACGCTGATATTATTTACTCCCTCCAAGGTGATATTAAGGAGCAAAAAGGTTTATCATCTACTGCTCAGTGGAACTGGCAATTCTGCAAAAAACAAGATCTTTACAAAATTCTTCTGAAATTATCCGTTTCCCATGGTGACTCATGTTCGTACTGATGTCTCACGGACCTTTAAAATGTTAAATTATTCCAAAAAGGTCGTGAAAATTCAAAGAGAAAAGCTGTGAGATTGAAAATACGAACTTGAACCCAAATAGTAGAATAAAAACTAAATTGCCTGACCTTCAAGAAAGTAAAATGAAATTTCACAATGTTTGCGCAATTTTGGGGACATTTGAAGTCAATCAAACTGAGCCTATTCACAATAATTTTTTTTTTTTGAAACTGAACGAATCCAAAGAATTTCCTGAAGGTCTCTAAAAATTATTAGACTGAACTGCAATCGAATTTAAAAAGATCTAATTTTAGATGCAAAAATATTTTGATGGGATTTTGGCAGAAAACTGCTCAATTTAATGGCGCGTTTCATGGGGGAAACAGGAAATTTTTTTCGTAAATTCTTCAAAAATACTCCTTTTTTTACTCTTTGAGAGATTATTTTCTCAATTTTTAAATGGCTATTAATATCCGACTTATTGTCCCGCGAAAAAAAGTTTAAACTGTCTTTACTCTGACGAATTCTGATTTCAAAGGAAAAAAAAGGCAAAAATAAGTGCCTCGAATTTGACAAATAGTCCCTCTTACACCAATCATTCTCGCGTACACGCAAAATGAGAGCCTCTTTTCATTCTGACAATGCCAATTTGAGCCCGATTCGTCAGCTAATGACGGCCTCTAAGACCTGAGCCAATTTCTCATCTCCTTTTTTCGGGATCTTCATTTTTGCGTCAAAAAATGCACTGAGTGTCTTTGCCCATTTTTCTGCAAATATTTTGAGAGCTTCTGGGGAAATCTTGATCCAACTTAAAGTCCTGAAGAATTTACAGGAAGGATAAAAAGGTCACTCAAGAAATGCCACCAAACCAAATTTTTTGAATTTCTAACTTTAAGCGATTCAAATTTATTTAGAAACTGAGAGAGTAAAAAAAAGCCCCCTTATTACCAAGCCGTATAATAAATTTTCGCCCTCAATATTTGATGTTTGAACTGGCATTGGGAATGATGAATATTAGAAGATGAGCGGTTCTCTGTCGTTTTTTATTCCCTCATTTTTTAGGCCGTTTGGTCTCAATTACGCCCGACCATGTAAACAAGCCGACGAAGGACCACTTCACAGTTGTCTTGGCCTGATTCTTCGGATAAAGACAGGGATTCTATAAGTTGGAATGTTGCGAGTCCTATTTGAAAGAAAAATTTGGAACATACAAAAAATCACGAGTTCAAGGGCTTCATCGTTTTCTATTGAGACAAAAAAGAAGCGGGTTTCACAGAACTTGGATTCAAAAACCTAATAAGATTAATTTTAAGCCTCATTTCTCAAAATCGGAAAAAAAAACCTGAAGAATTGATCTCGAATGAACCAAAAGTGTGAATTATTCACAAAAAAATCTGCCGTATTAAAAAAATGAAAACTCTCCTCAGAATCAATCAAAATCTATTGAACGCTTGGAGAAAAAAATTTTTATGACTCCTCAATTTCTGCTTGAATGCCTGGTTAATGAGCCAAAGACACCCTAGGTCAATCTGAAGGATATGATTTTTTTTTTTTGGAGCTTCAATGAAAATCCAGACCATGAGAAGATCATGAAAATCTTACAAAATCTGACTCAAGCTGGTAATAAATTGACGAGAATTCTCACATTTTTACAGATTGATCGAACCAGGACAAGCTTGCTCGGATAGTCGAAAAAAAGATTATTATGATGCTTCTTCCATGATCTATTGAGAATTCGTTAAATATACTCTTTCATCGCACTCCAAAAAGGGAGTCCTGAAAAAATTTTTTAACTATTTTTCGGGGAAAAAAATAGATCTTCTGGAAATCGATAACTGGTTCAGCGCTATTACGAAAAAAAAAACTGTATCGATCGTTGAATTATTAGCTCAAGCCAGCGGTGAATCGATTTTAATTTATGTAAAAAATTCTTTCTGAGATTAAGAAGGAGTTAAAAACGTGTAAAGACTCATAAAGCGTTTCGTCATGGAGTCCTCCCTTTTTTTCTTTCTCAAAAGACTGATACGGAATAAGAAATCGCTTTTTTTGGAAATATAATCAGAATATTTTACCGCTCATTTCCCAAGGTGTTAGAAGGACCAGAGTAAAAAAATTGGCAAACATTGCTCCAAAACCGTCGGTCAATCAAAATTATCGTGAAAGTTTCTCGAAGACCCTCCAAACACTAGAGAAAGAAATTAGTGGATGTAAAGTATTCTGAAAACATATTCTGAACACAAATTGAAAACTAAAGTCTGTTCAAAAAGCTTGCTGGGCCCTTTAAAGCTTAAAACAGTTCTATAAGACGAAAATTCTCCTATATTGAAAGAATGCGCATGTCTTTGGCCTTTGAAGGCTCCAGCAGCATTTTTGGTGGGGACTTGAACACAAAAAACAACAGAAATTAACCAAATAACATCGAAAAGGTGAAAGAAAATGGATATAAAATTTAGGAGTCGTGAACTCAACTGTGTCGTGTGCAGAGCGTGTATGCACAATTAAAAGCTACAGACACCCTAAAAAAATTTTGATTTTTTTGTTGTAAAATGTGTTTGGCCCAATTTTCTACAGCTGTTTTTGATTGCGTCGTTTTCTCAGAAGCCCACAGTACCCAACCAAATCAAGAAGCAAAAAGAGGGGGGGAAAAATGAGTTGCTTCACTTCCTGGACAGCTCTTGACACCCCGCAACGTCGTCTGAATCCTGAGATTCGTCACCGCCTCAGGGCATCAACATGTGTTTGGAGCGTGGGCGTGTCCTTCAGCTCCTTCTTCTTCTTCTTCTTCGTTTTCCTTCTTCTTCTCCGTTTGCGATCGTCTTCGAATGCTCTTCTTCTGGGCGCCGCTCTTCGTCATAGACTTTTCCTCCGCAACAACTAAGTTACATCTTCTCCGCTTCGCACTGCTCACTGACGTTTGGCTCAGATTTACTAGGCCGAGTTACCGGCTATTTTTAGTGTACTTCACGCGTTTTTAGTGTAATTTTCGCAATCTTTTTGGTTTTTTTAATGTTTTTTTAGGGCTCGGCGAGTATGGGCTTCCGCTTAGAAGCCATTTTTTGTGACCCGACTTTTTTTTAAAATTTTACGGTACGTGAAGATGAAGCTGAAAATAAAAACTGTTCAAGATTCCCCAATTTGACTGGGAAACTGTTCTAAAAAGCTTTCTGTTAAGTTTTCTTCTCGAAATTTTGAGGAAAACTGCAAAAAATGTCCCGAATTAATTTTTTTCAAGCTTTCTGTTCAATTATACAACCTTATAAGCTTAAAAAAATCAATATTCTCTGCAAAAAAGTCCCATTTGAGTTTTTAAAGCTCCTCTCAATCATCTCCAAGTCAAAAGTTCAACTCTCAGCCGGGGCAATTATTTTTCTCTTCACAAAAAAACCCCGGGGCTATTTTTTTAAACCTGAAACGTTCGCTCTTCGAAAGTTCCACGTCATGACGTTTTGAAAAAAAGCTTAAAATAATTTTTTTAGATTTTTTTGTTTGCACGGAATTGAAGAAATTCTTAAATTCAGAGCCTTCGGTATCATTTAGAAACGCCAAAATTTCGAAATTCTTATCAAGATAAGAAATTTATTCTTCTAATCTTCAAATTTGTAAACCGATTAAATTTCACAAGGTCTACATGAGGTTATTATCAAAAAAATGACGTCATTCTTACTGAAAATTGCTCAGCTTAGTCAGCTTGCAGCCACTCAAGCGGAAGAAGTTGGTAAAAATTCCAATAAAGAAAAAATATTTTTTCGTTTTTCTTCCAAAAAGAAGCTTTTTATCAAATGAGCTCGGAAGAGAATTTCTTCATGACATGACAGTCTCGAAATGACGTCATCAAGGTTCTAAATGACGTCATTTTTCAAAAAAAAAAAGTAATCTCCTTCAGTATGAGTACCAGTTCAATTGAGAATGTCAATAATACAAAAAAAAATTGGGTTCACTTGTACCTTTACATATCTTCAAAAAAAAAAGTCCGACATGATTTATAATTTTGGAATGACGTCATTAAATTTCGAAAATGACGTCATTATTCAGAAAAGAAGTAATCTAATCCAGCACCTGCACCAGTTCA